TATATATATATATATATATATACTATGATGTTGTTATTTTGGATAAGGAGCTAATTCAGCTTAATTTCATGTTAATTGGAAGTCACATATTTTAATAAACCAGACTAAGAGTTTACGACATATGGTAATTTTCAATCGCTATCCTGCACTGTTGAAGGTAATTAAAACTGGGTGACTTTTTTCTTCCCCCACCAAAAAAAAATAATTGTTTGTCACGTGATTTTGGTGTGGTCATTCAACTTTGATTTCTCTTTAAGCAACAAAAAACAAACAAAAACTATACTTTTATACCTTGGATAAAGAACATCCCGCTTTGAACAATTCCGTCTCAGTTAACGAACCTTAATTCGGGTTACGAACATAAGCATAGTTTTACGTTATTTAAGCACTCATTTTGGCACTTAACCGAAAAGTGTTATTAATAGGAATCGTGTTAGCGTAGTCAAAAACTTGGAAACTTCTATATTTGACAATTCGAAGATCGTCGTCGTAAGCAGTGGCGTAGCTGGGGTTGGTGTCAACCGGTGCGGTAAACTAATGGTGTCACCCCCCCCCCGGCCAGCCACGGCGGAAATCTTCTTGTTAAAATAAGTCTACAGCAAAAACAAATGATAAGAACAAAAGCAAATTATTTGAAGGTCAGGAGGTCAATGCTTTTAAGAACTGCAACAACGTTCAGTTGGAGTTATTTTGACAAGAAATTTACTTTATTTAAAATGTTCCTTTCCTGGTCTCCAAAGCTGCAAACCTGTCAATCGTGCTCAAATGTTAAGGGGCGGGCTAGTGACGAATCAGCGAAAATATTGAATTTTGAGTATTTCTGGGTTTCGATTTATTTGGTTTCAAAAACCCTTTTTTTTTTTTAAATGTATTAATTATGAAAAGAGATTAGAGAACATTTTGTGAACTATTATTTTGTTTCGTCTACCCCAGGGGGTCTCCAAACTTTTCAGCCCGAGGGTCGCATTAACTATCAAACAGTAGTTCGCGGGCCGACTGCACGCTCGAGCAGGGTTTCTGTCAGCATGATCTCGGGGGGGGGGGGGGGGCCCCCCCCCCCGGGGGAAATCCAAGGGCCCCCCCCCCTGAGCAAAAATATTTCCAACAATGAATCAACTTGCACTGCCCCCCCCCCCCACTCCCCGAAAAATCTGACGTTCTCCCCGCCGGGGGAAAATTTCTGAAATAATCACTGCACTAGAGGTCCAAATAAAAAAGAATCAAAACATGGATGTTGTTTTTAATTATAAATGAATCAACTGGCACTGCCCCCCCCCCCACTCCCCGAAAAATCTGACGTTCTCCCCGCCGGGGGAAAATTTCTGAAATAATCACTGCACTAGAGGTCCAAATAAAAAAGAATCAAAACATGGATGTTGTTTTTAATTATTTATATAATACTATTTCATTCAGTTAATGACCTCCAGCTGCAGTTCCTCTGGGCAACTGGCCACATCTTTTTCAATGGGGTTTTGAAAAAGTCTCACTTCTTCTGCCTTTAAATCCAAGTCAGAAAACCGCTGCTGAATTTGCAGCTAGGGGTCTTTGATGATCTCGCATGAAAATGACGTGGGGAACTCCGCTGTTGCTTCAGCCATGAAGAGCGTCCATTGCTACAAGAGCGTAAAGTTGTTAGCCTGTACTTGTTCCTACAACAAGACGAGTTTGGATCTGAAGGCATTTAAGAGGTGTATAGATCTTGTGTTATGTTCATGTCTTCAACAACACTTCTAACGAACACAAGCAGTTGAGAGGTGGAACAGCTGTCCAGCGATTCATCCATTGCAAATAAAATATGGTGAAACTTGCTTGCATTTTTCGATATTTGAGTCACAATGTTTTCAACCATGTCTGCAACACGGCGGGCAAAGCCCCGCCACTACATGTCATTTCATTGACTGTGAACAAAAGTAGAAAAACTAAGCATCGAATAAGATTTTGCAAAGTAATGATCGGTTAGAAAACATAACGCACTACTGCGCGCCTCTATTTTAATTCGGTAAAAACATAACGTGCACGTAAGCGGCGTCTGATCTTGTCAAGATACACGTACTTTTGAGTAAATTTTTATTCCGTTTACAAAAGGTCTCCGCGGGCCGCATGAGAGAGCCTCGCGGGCCGCATTCGGCTCGCGGGCCGTAGTTTGGAGACCCCTTGTCTACCCTATATAATTGGATAAAAAGTCATTTTTTAAATGTTTTTAACTTTTATCGATACGACTCATGAACTTAAAATCGCCCGACCACATCGTATTTTGTATCGATGGAAAACTTTATTTCTCAGAAATTAGATAAAAATAGCTTCCTGACACTTACGATAGTTACCGAGGAACTCATTTGGCGTTGATTCCTTTTATTTTATGCAATACGGTTAGACCGAGCAGCGTGGGATTTGTAAATAAGCTCTTTTTCCATTTGGTATCACCCCCTGAGATGGCGTCACCCGGTGCGGTCCGCGTCCCCCGCACCCCCTAGCTACGCCACTGGTCGTAAGACATGGGTAGGGAGCTCTGGGGATGAGTAGACTGTAGGAAATCAAGGGTGCGAGTTTCGAGCCACTGCTCTTTTCCTCCACCTCAGAAATCTCATACTGGGAGGCTGTTGTATGACAGTTTTTGCTAACATTACTGTGATCTACTTCATTATCTGGTTTCTAATTGCATTATTATTCCCCCTTTCTTTCAGTTTCTTCCCTTGTTTCTGTTTGCCATGACTTGTCCCCTCCTAATTACTTCCAACGGTCTCGTTGATAATAAAATCTTCGCTGATCAATTTCAAATGACAACAATCTGGAACAGTATTTTGGTAAGAAAACCCCTTTCAATTACAATAGTGTTAGTGGTGTCGAAATCAACACTTTAAATATGGTAAGATGCAGATAGGGTTTATTTTAGACGTGAAAGGCGCCACAAGCATTAATACTAATAGCTATTTTAAAATTTAAAGCGTAAATTATCTTTTTAATAGATATCTTTATTTTAGGGGCATTGGAGGATACTATTTGTACAACTCCCTTTTTTTTAAAATTAAGACATAACTACGTATTAATTCCCTTATCAAACTGTGTTACATAAGCTATTTAATATTGGTTAAAGCTTAAGTTGTTCTGACTTTTACATATTTATTTACATTCTAATTATTTAAGGTAGATCTTTTTTCTTTCTTTAAAAAAATAATTAATATCCTGAATCCTATATTTTTTTTATCATTCTGCTTGGGTTTACCAGTCAAAGGAAAGCTTTTTAAACCAAGATATTTTGTTCGTTGTGTTGATGGCAGAACCAAAGCGTGACCTTTAGAGGCCCCCTGCAATTTTTCACTATTTAAAATTTAGCTATTTAGCACTATTAAAATATAGTATTTTCATTTCTTTTTTCCGCATCACAGCTTTGGGTCCCTTTAACATCAAAGGCCCCCTAGGCGGCAGGGGATGCAGGGCTTGAGCGATGGCTCTGACTGATTCAGCAAATGTTGTAATTTTGAACAGCAACTTGATCTAACTCAGAGACGTTTGCTTGCTGTTAACATTTTGTTTAACAGTGTATTTTTTTATCTATACTACTTGTCGCTTTAGCAGAACCACTTGTCACAATGCAAATAAATCAACCTTTTTAATCATTTTCTTACACCATTACATGTAATGAAATAAGATATAAATCTTTGTTGTTAAATGTGTTAACTATTAACATGAATTCCTGTCTTCAAGATCATACACAAATTTTACCCCCAAAATATTTACTATACAGACTATTTTCCAAGACTTAGAAATATACATTGCTTTATGTTTGATCATATGTGGAGCAAGTCTCAAGCTTCATCAAACAAGAGCAGGCAGGGGCAAGAAGGCCTTAGAAAGGGTATTTACATTTTTAGCAATACAAAAATATTGTCTGACCATTTTGCCTAACTAAGTGTGATAAAAAAAGTTTTTAAAAAATGATTTTATGTTGGAACTAAATAACTTTTAGGACTTGAGAGACACTTTTAATATTTAAACAACTATCTATTCAATCCTTAACGAAGATAACAAGATCCTGTGTGATTAAAAGAGTTGGTAATATTTAATTTTATTTCCACAGCCAAAAGATGAGGCCACATTCTTCAATGATCTATTACTCAATCAGGCCCTTGGGTAAACAAAAAAATAATATAAAAACTAATAGATCTAAATCACATTATTATTGACAAATAAGCAGCAACTGCTCCAAAAGAAAAATTCTTTTTTTAAATTATTACTCTATTAAAAGAAATGTACATTCTATCAACAGGCTTGTCAAAATTGGATTCTGTAGAAAGTTAACAGAAAATGATGTCCCTAAAGTAAGTCCCTGGGAGAGGTGTAAAACTATTTATTCAGCTTTTGTTGAAAACTGGCAAAAAGAGCATCAGAAAACTCCAATGAATAAAAGGTAGCTTAAAAGAAAGTTTATATTTTGTGAATTAATATCCCTTTTGCAAGAATATTTTTGTTATCCTCAACCAACTATGTCAAATACATTTTTATTAAAATAGGATGTAAACCTTGAACAAAATAAATCAAATATTAAGGTGTGGAGAAAAAGCCCCATCTGAAAGTAAATAAAAATAAATCTGTCTTTTAAATGCACCCATAATCACCAGATTTGATTTGTGTCCCCTTTTTTATGTGTCCCCCTTTTATGTGTCCTCCTTTTTATATGTCCTCCTTATTGTAATGATATCCAACATATTTACTACACAAATCTTCACAAGTCTGTCTCAACCCTGGTAGATGTTGTTCATTAATATATATTTTGTAAAAAAATATTTGATATTCAAATAGCAACCGTTAGTTTTGATTTTCTTATTTTAACACAGAGAACTCATTAGAGATGCAGTGGAGAAAAATCAAGAAAATTCTAAAACCACAGGCAGAAGTCAAGAAGTAAAACCTAATCTGCTGATAGTGTTACTTAAAACCTTTGGTTTGAGGTATTTTTCAATGCAGGTGAGTTTAGCAATGTGCCTTCATTGAACAGAAAACTTTAAACAAATGTTAACCTACACAATGGCTCATTCTTATTAATTTCTTTAATTAATGGAAATAACTTTTCAGGAGGGCATTTTACAATGTATATTTATTCCACGGGAATACCACAGTAAAAGATAAAATACATTAATTTCGTCAACTGAGAGTGATCAGTTCTTCAAACAAAGATGCCAACCGACCATCCATTGGTTGAACTGATTGTACTTAAGTGTGAAAATTATCCTTAAGGGGAAATAATCTGAGTAGAAACTTTCTTCCTGAAGATTAAATAAGTCAACTCTCATAACTATCATTTTTAAATCTATGTCAATAAAATTGTACTTTTATGTTTGTGTGTGTTTTAAAATTACCTTTAGCTCTTCCTGTGTTGCTTGGAGTTGTGCAATTTTCTCTGCCCTGTTTTGATGGAGTAAGTAAAAGGAAACTAATATTTAAGATCTATTTATGTTTCTGGAATGCAAGTATTGGCTTGGAAATGTTATAAACTTTCTAATTATAATATTCAATAGGATTTCATTTGTGAGAAAAGTATGTCTGTAGAAGAACTGATGCAATTAATACAAAAAAACAAAAAAACTTATAATGGTAACGTTAACTTGAAAGCACAAAAAATGTTTTAGAAATTAAAATTATAAAATACTTTTTAATTAAATCAATTTTTGCTAGAAAATAATGTTTTTGTCAAGAAATTTGAAAAGAGCTAAGTCTCCATCATTTGAACTATTGTTTTTAATTTTTTCCATGAACATATTTAGCACAATGTGACTATGACTAATATGTTTTAGTATTCATTTGACAATACTGCAGAACAAAAAAGAATAATTCTGAAAAAAATATGAAATCATCAGAGGTCTTATGAAGTTCTTAGAAAACCGATCTAAGGAGCCAATGTGGCGAGGCTACACTCTGGTTATGGCCATGTTCTTCTCATCAGCTCTCACACAAGTTATCTATAACCGTGTGTACTTCAGTATTCATAGAATGAGCCGACACATTTGTCTCACCCTCAAACTTGCTGTATTTAATAAGGTATTTAACACAAATTCCCCTCAGTATCATAATGAACCAAAGCCCTTTCTAAACATAATAATTTTCACTATTAGGATGACAGTACTTACTACAGTTTTCCCCATACATTTACATTTTCACTCTTTAAAATTTTAAGTATAGGGCTATCTACAATTCCAGTGTTATATTTATCATCATCATTATCTTCATTCATATCAAGTTGCCATTTGGGCTTGTGCTCCGTCACCATGGTGAAGAATTTACACACTCTCCACAGCTGTTATTTGTTTGTATATAAGGTGTTGGTGTAGTCTGGTGTTTTTTGGTTGGCAGTTAAGGCGTAAGTCCAGGCGGGCAGTGGAAGAGATGATGTGCTATTGTCACATTTTGGATGTCTGCCGAGTGGGCACATTGGTGTTTTATCTGGTTTTATGTGGTCTGTGTGCGAGTTAAGTTCTAAATGTTCTGTGCGCAGGCAAAAGATGTTCATGTCTTTGGAGGCAATTTATTGAATCTTTACGGTCTGGCCTGGGCATATTTTTGATTTTGCTGATTTGTCTGCTCTGTCGTTTCCTGGTAAATCGTGGTGTCCTAGTATCCATTGCCATTGTGAGATTAGCTAACTGCATACATTTCGATGAAAGTGTTTACTTTCGTAAGGGATTATTTTGTGGTTGTTGTGAGATCTTGATGCTCGTCTGCCTGAAGTTTCTTAGTTTGATGGGATAAACTGAGAAGATTGCAGATAAGTGGCGTAATGCTGTACCAAGAGGATTCACCCCTACTTCGTAATTACTGCAGATCGCGCCACAGGGTTTCAGAGATTGTACACCAGAGTCTAGATGTAAGGCAATTTAAAAGCTGACCCATTTGTGTATATTTGAATTATTTCATCTTAGTAAGATGTTATGTTTTTTTTTCTAGTACCTTTATTGTATGTAATGAGTCTGTACTTTTCTGTTCTATCTTTTTGATTAGGTCTGTTTTGATATAAGCCGTTTGTAATTGTTGGTTTGGGGATAGGTGTTTAGGTATAACTTGAAAAGTCTTGTCTGTCTGTTGGTAGGTTTTGTTTCTCTTCAATTTCAGAGGCCATATCTAGTATTGATTTCTGTTTAATTGTTTGGTTTGTTCTCCATTTTTCAACCATTTGTCTATATGGCTATGGATTTTGCTTGTCTAGCCTTCTGAAACCTTTAAAACAATCTTGATAACAGCTGCCTCTCTTCTAAGATTTAGTGGCTTAATATTAGTGAGAACTTTAACCATTTTTTAAAGATTTTGCTATGAATCCTTTCATTGTTAAACTTCCAGTGTAAACCTTTCCACCAGACTCTATCATAGGCCTACTGGAGATAGACAAAGACTGCTGGGTTGAGTTGGTGTTTTTTTGTCTTGGAGGCTATTTAAGATCCCTTTGCTAGGCAGAAGAGTTGATCATCAGTACACTCCACTGCTCTGAAGCCATGTTGGTTTTTATTGAGTTGTACTGGTGGTTTCTTAACACCAATAAAAACGATTGTTGATTATTCTTTCAGCAAGTTTTCTGATGCAGGAGGTCAGGGATATTGGTCTGTAGCTTTTAGCATCATATGCAGCATTTACTTTTTTAATATTGGTGTTAATACAGGATTTTACGGGATTTTAGGGATTTCACTTTTTCGCCACTGAAGAGGTTACTTACAAGGATCCATGCCCTAGGTCTATAATTGTGTGGGTCTAATCCTTCTGTTGTCTGTGCTCATTTATTTCTCTTGGCTGTATTTATATTAAATTGTTTAATCAATTTTTTATTACTTGTTAATGAGCAAATATTTTTTAAGTTATATTCCTATAAATGTTTCAATATTTAAGTAGACCTACACATTCCTTGGGAATATTCACTGAAAAACTTAAATTTGATACACTTTTTTTATGTCTTATTCTGAAGGCGTTAACTGTTACTGTTGATAGCAGAGAAGAGAAGACAACTGGGGAACTAATCACACTGATTACAGAAGATTGCTACAAATGTTCTGATGCCAGTACATGTGCATTTTACTTCATGTTGATACCTCTTGAGGTTTTGGAAAATATAAATTACACCTTATTGTTCAAGATTAAAGAAATTCTTAAATTATTGCAAAGTTTGTTGTAATAAATTATTTGAAAGATGATTATCAAATTCAGTGAGTCTCATGATGATATGCACACTCTTACTATGACATGCACACTCTTATGATGCCATGCACACTTAATCTGTTCATGTTCAATCAGTGAGTCTTATGATGACATGCACACTTAATCTGTTCATGTTCAATCAGTGAGTCTTATGATGCCATGCACACTTAATCTGTTCATGTTCAATCAGTGAGTCTTATGATGACATGCACACTGCACACCTACCATGTTCAAGTTCAACTCTAAATTTTTCCTTTCAGTTTTTGCTGTCCATGTTTCTTCTCTACAACCAGCTGGGGGCATCCTCTTTTGCTGGACTGGGTATTTTGTTAGCTGTTGTACCTCTTAACTTGTGGATCACCCAAAAACTAACCTACTTAGAGGAGGTCAGGGATGAAATGAAAGATCAAAGAATCAAAATCATGAATGAAATTCTCAATGGGATAAAGGTGTGTAAGAATATAATATGATAAATCACAAATGACAAATGATTACCATCATGACCATGTTGATGATATGATAGAGTAATAATGTAAGAAAAACTTAGGAATCAATTTTATTATTTCATGTCTTTGAGTAATATGCATTTCCTTAACCAGGTATTGAAGTTATATGCCTGGGAAAAACTATTTATTGAAAATGTCTCTACCGTCAGAAACAAGGAGATTGCTGTAAACAAACAGATAAGTTTGTTTCATATCTATCTTGACATGATGTACTTGATCATACCTCTATTGGTAGGTAACTCATTTTAAACCTTGGAATAACCTCTCAGCAAAAGTAGTTGTCATATTATACAATGTGAATAATTGTTAAACTCTCAACACCCCAATGACATTCTATAACAATTCTAAAATATATTATGTCATCTCCACCATTTTAATTGGACACCTCAAGTGATACAATGCCACAACACATTACTTACACCAAATATAGAGATTTATATCAATAAAATGTAGCCAACATGATAAATTCGTGACACTAAATTTAAAAAAAGGCCTTAAAAATATTGAATGATAATTTTCAGGTCCATGTTACCGGATTTATGATCTTCCTCTGCATGGGTGGAAAACTTGACCCTGCCAAAGCTTTTGTGGCAACAACATTGTTCAGCATTCTTCATAACTCTTTAAACAATTTTGCCCATTTCATCCCATCTATCGTCCAGGCTAAAATTTCTCTCAGGAGATTGAATGATTTTCTTCACAAGAATGATATTGCCAAAGATGTTGTTCTACAGGACAAATGGGCGGGTAAGAAAAATCAATATCACAAGTAGCCTAGTTGGCATAAAATTGTTTACTGCATCAAACACTTTCATTAAGTCAAATACACTATGTAATAGTGAATGCATGAAGTCAGACACATAATATGAACAAAATAAAAAACTAAAGATCAATGCCACTTTTGAAAACAATTTTTAGATTCTGAAGTTTCTGTCCATATTGACAAGGGCGAATTTAAATGGACACCATCTGGGGAGCATGCAACTTTGCAAGGGTAAGCAATCACATAAAATATGTTGTATTTTCTAATAACATTTCTCCTTTTCATTAGGATATTTACTGGTACAGATGTTGATAAATTGCTTTACAAAATTATGTTAGAAGAATGTAATATGAGGAAATCATTATACAGAATTAAACAATAGAAATAATCATATACATTCTATGCAATTTAGCATCTAGAGAAATAATTAATAAAAGGGCTACAACAAGGAAAGCAGTACTTTGAGAAAAATAATAAGTGTTTTGAAAATGTTTCCCTTTACTAAATCATTATATGAAAATTGAGAAGCTTTAATATAGACTCTAGAAGTGACAGGAAATGTTTTTTAACTGCTTAAATGGTAAGGTAGTTCATGAAGTGAAATTATTTATTTGTGGTGTCTTTAATAGAATTGATATGGAAATTGCAAAAGGCTCATTCGTGGCTGTTGTTGGCAGTGTTGGTACAGGAAAATCCTCTCTCCTGTCAGCCATCATGGGCCAGATGCATAAATCACATGGGACAGTTAATGTACAGGTTAGCATTTAAATTTTTTGTTCTGTTCTTAGAAATGTATTGTATATTGGTAAAAAAAAAATTGATTATAATTTTTATATATAATTACAAAATTATAAATATTTTCTTCAGGGTAGAATTGCTTATGTGGCTCAGGAAGCTTGGATGCAAAATTTAAGTATCAGAGAAAACATTCTATTTGGCACCAAGTATAACTCTAAAAAATATCAAACAGTAATCGAAGCCTGTGCATTGACTGAAGATTTTAAAATTCTGAATGCTGCTGATGAAACTGAAATTGGCGAGAAGGTAAACTGAAATTTAATGTTTATTTGAGATAAAACTAAAGTTGATAATTGCTGCATTTTTTTCACTTATGTTGGGGCTAATTACATTATTTATATGATCTATGATATTCAATAATAATATGATTACCTAAAAAAATGTGAGAGTTTTGAATTTTTTATATCATTACAATCTTCACTTAGCAAACTTGACTTTCTAAAGAAACAGGAGCTGTCTTCAGTCCATTTTTATTTCATTCAGTTATCTGCTACTACTGATGGATGAGACAATGGCCAAGTAACACTACTTCTGTCTACTCGTTGTTTCTGATGTCATTGTCAGATTTCTTTTCCTCAGATCTCTTCCTCGGTTCTTCTGCAAACAGGTTTCTTAGGGTCTAATACGGTGAATTTTTCCACTGGTCTGTCCATTTTAGTCCAATGGTGTTCTAAGAATATCACAAGTTTTCAGGCAGCACAGTTACGGAAGATGTTGAGGCTCAGAAACAATCAGCATATGGGCTTTCACTCCAGCTTATTTATGTCCATGTCAATGGTTAGCTCCCTTAGCCATTCATTTTTACCAAGTCACTTTCAACTTTCAACTTAGTGATCATTTTCATCCTATAGCTGAAAGGGTTTGGACTGAGCTTGATTTAAAATCTGGTCCTTCTGTACAAATCATAAGTCAAGTGATCGGATAATAAGGGTAAGAAATAAAAACTTTCTTTAAAAACAAAAGGAAACTTACTGTAAATAAGAAAATTATTCAAATTATCATTCCAATATTTTTCCAGGGAATCAATCTGTCAGGTGGTCAGAAACAACGAATTTCACTGGCCAGAGCTCTATATAATGATGCTGACATTTATCTTTTGGATGACCCACTTAGTTCAGTAGATGCTCATGTTGGAAAGCACATCTTCAATCAAGTTTTGGGCTCCAAAAGTCTTCTTAAAGACAAGGTTTTTAAATTCCCTAATAAATTGACATATTGAACAAAACTAGTGGCATTATATAAAAAATTTTGGCTAAAAAATACTTAACTTGATTAAGTAATGGTTAGCGTGTGTTCATTGTTCTTTTTTTTTTTACCTTTTTTAAAAAACAATACATTGTTTTTATGTTAAAACTGTTCTTTTAGACACGAATTCTGGTGACTCATGGAATTCACTGGCTTCCATTTGTGGATGAAATCATTGTCATGAGAGATGGGAAAATTTGTGAGACAGGAACATATGAAAAACTCTTGTATAATGATGGAGACTTTGCTCAGTTTCTCAGGGAGAGCTTTAAACAGTCTTCTGGAAAAAGTTCAGTTCAAGGTATATTTATTAATCTAAAGTACTTGGTTTTCTCCGTACCGGTCCTTAACAGCATTTTATGACTCTGTGTCTGTTAAAAGAATAAAAATTTGTTGTTTTTATATTTTCACTTTTAATTGCAAAATACATCACTAATTTTTCCAATATCTCAATTTACAGTTCAACAAATGAGAAACGGTTTTATGGAACATTTTAATTCTTTGAATGTCAAACAAAATTCTGCAAGGTAAAAAATGCTATAATACAATTGTTTGGATAGATTGTGTCCAATATTTTATGAATAAATGTTATCTTTTTGTTACAGTTTTAGAAAATAATTTCATCAAAATTATTCCATAAAATTATTTTTTTTCTACACCACAACTATTGAATTAAAGCCATCTCTTTGACAGTGAAGAGGTTCCTGTGCTAAGTTGTGAATTTGGAATGAGCAGAACTGATCAAATAACATCTCATGGTGAATTTACACCTTTACAAAGTGGGGAGGATGAGGAATCTGAAAAGGGCAGTAGTGTAAGAGCCACTAGTTATTAGTATCAATAAAGTGATTGACAAAATCTAAGTGAATAAATGATATGCCTGATGAATACAACTAAAATCAGAACCAGAAATATAAAACACATATATTGATAGTTTGTAAATCAGCATAATGGAAGATATATTTAACCTTTTTTGTAAATAACTGGATAAAATATGGTGATGTAGGACCAAAAAAAAATTAAAAAATTAATTGAGACCCTTTTTTTTAAAAAACAGATCTCTCTCCAAGTTTACAATGAGTACCTGAAGGCCTTCGGTAGAAAGACTCTACTTTATGTCTTTGTTATATTTGTTATTTGGATGGTGTCAAGTGATTTCAAAGCAATTTGGCTTGGCGAATGGACTGAAGACACAACACAATCACAACTACTTGCATATACATCTAATACTTTTATGTATATGGCAGTATACATAGCTGTTGGAGGCTTAGAAAGTGAGGTTATAAAAGACACAATAATTTGATAATGCTTATTCAAATACTATTAGATTTTTCTAAAATATATATAGACTCTATTTTTTAGGAGATCTTGATAATATATATGAATACAGTGCACATTTTAAAATAAAATTATAAATGAAAAAATAATATAATATAAATAATACAAAAAAGCAAATATGTTTTCTTTCCATCAGAAATATTAGTTGATATCCTAGCAGTACCAGTAGTTGATAGTTAAATTGCTGGTTGCTAGAAGCAAAACAGACATTGATCTTTCTGCAAAAGTTTTTTTCTAAATTTTCTTTATGTTTTCTTCCAGTTGTGATGGGTTATATATTTCTACAGTTGGTGAAGTCTAGATCCCTAGATGCTGCCAACCATCTTCACAATCAACTTCTCATCAATATTATGAAAGCACCCATGACTTTTTTTGACACAACACCAACAGGTTAAATGAAATTATTTATTTTATATGTAAAACTAAAACAGCATTAACCATTCTTCCTAGTTGCATGCTTTAACTACAATACACTTTAGCTCTGAATCAAATGAAATATATATATCCAGGGCCTGCCCTAACAATCGCTGGGCCCTATGCGAAACGGATTGCGCGGGGCCCAGTCTGGGTAGGGATAAGGATAATAAGTGAAAATTAAGATTTTGTATTAGAAAATAAAGTGCGGGGCCCACTGCAGCTGCATAGGTTCCACTGCGGCTGCATAGGTTGCAGGGGCCTAAGGCTGGCCCTGTATATATCAATAGCATATATCAATACCAGTATTTAAAAAAGCCATTATCATTTTACCTCTATAAGATACCGGTAACAGCTAATTTTGTCTGTTTATGTTGCCATGATCATATTTACATATTTAACATACATTTTCAGGACAGATTCTAAGTCGGTTTTCTAAAGATGTGCGCAGTGTAGATGGACTTGGTGACTGTCTAGATGAATACATGCATTGTGTTGGAGGGATCATCATGAAGCTTGCCATAATTATATATGTCAATCCTAAAGTTACTCCTTTCATTATAATTGTCTCTGCTGCATTTATTTTGTTACAGGTACATAATCTATGTATTTAAAGATATTGCCATAGCTAAATAATTATATACACAAATGATTCATTTTTATTCTTATCTATTATCTATTAAAAATAATGTCTTGATGCCATGTCTATTGGAATATAATTTATGTTAATTCTATTTAATTGTCTTTGTCAGCGCCTGTTTTCAAAATCAGCCAGCCAGCTTCGTCGATTTAAAGCCAAGAGCTCATCTCCAATTGTTGAACATTTTAAGGAAGCTCTGGATGGTATGACTACCATCCGTGCTTATTGGGCCCAGAAAAGATTTATCACATCAATAGAGACAACAATAGAGAACCATCTACGATTTGATGTTTGGGAAATGTTTGTAGGAATCTGGTTTGATTCACAAATTGCTCTTCTTTCATCATTTGTTGTGCTAAGTTCAGGATTGTTCATACTTTGGGATGGAGACATTTCACCTGCACAGGCTGGGCTTGTTTTAATGTATTCATCAAATGTAAGTTAAGCCATTGACTTTAACATAAATGGTTTAAGAGGAGGTTTAAACTTAGACCATAACTGCATGCTTTTTTACTATTAAGAACAGCTAATTTTAAGCTTTTTTACACTGAATGTAGAAGCAAAATAATATTTAACATTAATTCCAGCATATGTGTGTGTGTGTATTTAATTAACAACAAATTTTGTAATTTACAGAACAGAATCTGGTTAAAGTTATAGAAGTACTGGTACCGGTAGTTAAAAAAAAAAAAAGAATAATCATACATGCATTTTATTATTAGGATCATATATAGATTTATCAAGACCCAGCTTTTTAGTTAATTTCTATTAGTAATACTTTCTGAGTAGAACTAACTTAGTTAGCTCAAAGTTAATCTTCTTTTAATCCTTTGACAATAGTCACTGAAATTATGATCCACCTTCAAATTGTTAATATTTCTTTTCAATAATAAATACCCTGGTACTTGTATATATTTATAAAATTTATATTTTTATTTCATATTTCAATTAATTTTTTATTTAACGAAGAACTGCAGGCCACTTACTTGAAAATAATTTTAAAATTCTATGTCAAGTAACCAATTTAAGTAAAATTTTATAAATATGTATAAATTTTAACTCTCCTAGTTTGTAAACTACTTGGGCTGGTTCATGACTCATTCAACTCATACAGAACAAGAATTAGTTTCCCTTGAGAGGATTTTGGAATTCTCTAGAAAACCAACTGAGGTAAGAATTTTAAAATAAATTTTATTTGACATCAAAGTATATGGAATGGTTCAAACTATTTTGAATGACAATACAATTATTATAGGTCTATAATTAATTTTTATCTGGTTCATTGCCCTGACAAGCATATATTTTGATTGAACCATGTTAGAAAGAATATAATTATGTATTAAGAAGCATTCAAATAACCATCTAATAGGTCATAAATTAAACCTAGATAGCTCATGCATGATTCTGAACTCTGTGGGTTGCCCTTAATAATTAGTCCCTGATTTTTTTGAAGGACACTTCCCCAGCACATAAAAAATACAAATATTAATTACAATGATAAATGTTTGTCAAAAGTTGTTCTAATAATCCTACATACAAAAAATGTCAGTGTTCATGGGGTAATTTCTTTTTTTTTTTTAAAGTTATATTTGATTCGTTGAAACATTTTTATAAGGAAGGATCAAGAAATAAATAAAAGTTAACATTTGCAATGATTTTCAGGCAGTTTGGGAAATACCAGAAACAGCACCTTCTGAAGAATGGCCCCAGAATGGTCAAGTTACAATGGAGGATTATAAAGCTCGCTACCGGGAAGGCCTTGACCTTGTGCTAAAAGGTGTCACATGTCATATAAAAAGTGGAGAAAAGGTAATTGGACTGCCAGTTATTGAACTATCATGAAATGATTAAAATGATTGTTTATTATTTCATAAAGAAACAAAAAAACTGAGTATTTAAGAAATAGGGAGATATTGGACTTAGTGAGGCTAGGGCCATTAGCTAATATTTTTTTTAAGAGAGGATAAACATAAAATATCAATTGCAGAATTATTTTTATTATGATTTCATTATGACTTCAAAGATAGTATGATCATATCCTCATTGCACTTGAAATAGTTTCTACAATAATTGCCATAACAATACTCTTAAATGAGTGGTTCTTTTTTTAAATTACAGATTGGAATAGTTGGAAGAACAGGAGCAGGTAAATCTTCACTTGTCATGGCTTTGTTTAGGATGATGGAGGCAACAACTGGACATATTGCTGTGGACAACTATATCATATCCAGTTTGGGAATTCATGATCTTAGACGAAAGCTCACCATCTTGCCTCAGGTCAAATTGTTTTTTGAACTAATTATTAAATAATATAGTTGTTTCCACCTCTCCCCCCCCCACCACTTTTTATTTGTTTAAATAGCGTTAATATAAATTTATGTTTTAAAAAAAATCTCTATTATTTGGCCTAAGACATATTTTTACACCTTTTAACTTTAATTGTATGCATTTTATAATTAATGAATCGCAATAAAATTCTCCACAGTTCTATTAAACTTCTAATGTACTAGTTATTTTTCCTCATGTAAAAGAGACGCCTGAAAGAAACACCTGTGGCTACTTTGCGAAACGGTTGTCCACCTTGGTCTAGGAATGATTATTCAATAATGATATGTTTCACAACGTTCAGATTCAAGTAAATTAACATTCAACAACACAATGTTCTCATGTAGTGAGCAAAGCTATCTTACACATAGCACTCAGCACAATGTTCTCATGTAGATTTTCATTTTTGTGCTCCAATAAAAACTTCTTTCATTGAACGCTCATGCAGTGCAGAATCATAATTTTAAAAAAATTTGTATAGCTTATATAAGGTAAACCATGAACGTAGGTCTCCAGATCCAGGCATTTCCCATGACCCGAAACTCAGAAACACATCTATCAAAAAATATTTCACAAATCCATGATTACCCACATTTCACCACTTATGACACACTACATCCAATTACAACAATAAGGATATTTTCTATAAAATAACATTAAATTGAATAAATATTTCTTTGATTAGGATCCTGTGATCTTTGGAGGTAGTCTAAGAATGAACATTGATCCTCAAGCAGAGAAATCAAACAGTGAATTATTGGAGGTGCTAAAACAAGCTCATCTGCAGAAATTTGTTGAAAATTTACCTGAAAAGTTAGATCATCATTGTGGAGAAAGTGGAAAAAATCTCAGGTGATTTCACGCAATTAAAAGACATTTTATATCATTTTATTTTTGCAGTAATCTTCTGATTATTTTAATTCAAAGTGCTTGAGTAATTTAATATATAGTAAGATTAATTTTTTTGTTGCTTATTTAAATTTAAGCGCAGACAATTATTTTTTTTTGTAGGATATTTTACAGTTCATTAAACATTAAATCTTTGTGTAATTTGAGTATGACGAATATATATGACTTTGTAGATGTGGAAAATGTTATTTGGTAAAATCTTATTAATGTTGATAATGTTATTTTCTATGAATTGATTCATTTTACAAGTGCTCAAAGCAGAAGCAAAAGATAGTTGAAAGGCAATCAAATCAAATTTAGAATGTTAGATTCAACAAAATATACATGTTTCATTTTTTTGAAAAGTGTCGGTCAACGCCAGCTTGTGTGTTTGGCCCGATGTTTGTTGCGAAAGACCAAAGTTCTAGTGTTAGATGAGGCAACAGCTTCAGTGGACATTGAGACAGATGACCTCATACAGAAGACAATCTGCAGAGAATTCAAGGATTGTACAGTTTTGACCATAGCTCATCGACTAAACACTGTATTGGAATATGACAGGTTGGCGATCTTTCTAAAATTCTTTGCTTACATCTCCAAATTTTGTTGATGTTAGTACAAGTACAATCTGAATTTGCCTATCAAAAGAAGATTGTGCAAATTACTATTTAGGCTTTGACAGCATTTGCGTTGATGCCAAGTACACAGCTAAGTGGTTCATTAATTAAGAGGCCTTAACTAATTTAAATAATGCATGATTGATAATAATTAGTTCATTTTACATCAGAAGCAGAAATGTGTGCAGTTAGGTTTGTCTGTTTACCGATTCATTTATTAACTTTTCAATAACTGTCATGAAGTGAGGGGTAGCAAAATATTAGAAGACTACATTTTTTCCCCCCACAATCTATTTCCCTCCAGGATCCTGGTGATGGACAATGGTATGGTTAAAGAGTTTGACACACCCACCAATCTGTTAGCTGACAAGGAATCTTCATTTTACACCATGGCCAGAGATTCTAATCTTGTCAAGACTTTTTCAGGTCATAAGTTAAAACAGTGAACAAATCTAATTTTTCTAATGCAAATAAACAAGAAAAATTTGATGAAAATTTATCTGGAATTTTATTTCCTAAATTACATATTTAATCTGTCATCTTTTCCTGAAAAGATATTTAAAAGGCAAATAAGTTATAAATATAAGTAACATGGTATTTAATAAATGTATATTTCATAAAATATTTTCTATAAAATTTTCCATGTAAAATGCTTTTCATTTAAGAATACCGGTATTAAAAACAAAAAAATAATATGAGAAATTAATATTCTGACAAAAAAATTGTATTTCAATACAAACATCAATCACATTCAAACTGTTTCATTTTTTTTTTTAAATTGTACAAAAGTCCTCCCTGATAAAGTAAAAGTAAACAATCAGTGTTTAACCCTTTGAGGTAGAAAGGGCCGTTAAAGTAAAAACACAGTGCGTAACAGGGGTGCCACTCACTGACAGCTGTGAACCCTGAAATCCCTTTCTAAAAATTTCTTGAAACCTGAAACTTCATTTACAAATTTTTCAATCCCTGAAACTTAATGAAACTCAAAATTCCTGATTATCGCAATGCGGCGTTTTGTTGATTAATATAAAAACAAGCATGAAATTATCAAATAAAACATTGAGATACATCACAAATGAACAAAATTAAGCAATTAAGGTGTATACATGTAAACATTTATTAGTATTTATTAAATTTACAGCAATAGCAATTTTTCAATTTACTTAGACTTGAAAAGTCAACTTTTGCAATGAGTTATCTGGGCATTTTAGAACAAAAGTATAGCTACCACAAGTGGAAAGTATCTTTTCATATATGGAGTTAATGTTGTCTTCTTTATGATGAAAATGGATAGTTTGAATCAACACACTTTAGTGTCTATACTATCTCCCAAGTGTGAGAGTTTCATAGTTTGACACATAAATTTCATAAATTGAGAAGTTACAAAAGTGGACACCTAAGATGGGTGATAAAGATGATTGACTCAGACATTTTCCCCTTGAATACATGATATCAATATTTCCAGCATAGTATTCATTGATGGCTTATTCAATCATGATTGCCAATTGCTGTACTGTAACTGTAATGACCATCAGTTCTTTAAAGTTAAAGGAACTGTTAACTGTTGGGCATTACATATTTTTATTGAGCCTAGATCCTGAATAGTGAAACAAAATAAAATATATTATCTTATTAGATTTATAGTTTATAGTAAGGCATACATAATAATAATATCGACTATATTATACCAGTATTTAACTACGGCACTACTGCTACGGTAATACAGAGCATTATGAATACTAGTAATAGTAGAATTACAAATTACCGTAAAGTATACCCAGAGTCAGAACACGGGAGTGCATAACTAATAAATAAAAATAAAAACTAACTAAATACAGTTATGTCAGGCTCTCTACAGAACGGATAAAAATAACTTAATCCTATTAGCCTATTTAAAATTAGAAGGCTTACTCCGTAATTAAATGTAAAGTGAACTTAAGAAGTCTTTAAACAAAAGTTAAACGCCGCCTAGTCCTAGCTCTTCTAATAAAAAAAAAATACAAGTCGCCTGCATACAGTAAAGCTACATAACAAAGTACGCTAAGCTTAGTCTTGTTAGACAGTGCTCGGACGAGTAGTTTTCTTTTTATGATAATGGTTACCCAACAATTAAAAACTAAATTTAAAAAAAAGATATTTACTAAATTTTACACTTTGCTTACCCAAACACTTCAAATATCTCTTGATCGGCGACGTGAACAGAAAATAAATATTTCTGGTCTATTGAAGTAGTACAGTACTCGAAACGCGTAGTGTAAAGCGCATGCGCAAGGGGAAACCACTAGCTCTCTGTCAAGAGAAAGGCTAAAAATAGACGAGATCGGCGATTAACGTCCATTTTCAATGAATTTTCCTGGTTTTTCGCGAATTCTGTTGCACGTTGATTCTTTAAAAAAAAACAGACAGAATCCGTATTTGAATAAATTGAACTGGCGAATCCGGAAATAGAGAATATAAAAACTCGCGAATCCGGAACTGAAAAATATTTAGCCTCACGAATCCGGAATTCCGGGATAACCCGGAAAAGTGGCACCCCTGGTGCGTAATAAGGAAGAGTGGTTCTGTAAAGGGTTATCATTTATTATTTGAATTTGTATACTTACTTGTTCCTCCTAAATGGTTTTGGACCACCCTTAGGTTTCAGGCCGCCACCTTTAGATTTCTTATTAGCGCCTGCAGCTTCTTGCCTTTCCTTATAGGACGGTCTACATATGCAGGTGAATAGAAAGACAGTGACAGTTTAAGAGTTAATGTTTTAGCTGCCATTTTAGAGCAATTTGTGTAAGAAGAGGGTTTTTTGAGACAACTTACCCAGATCTAAACTTCTTTACAGCTGATGATCCAATATCCGCCAATTCTTCTTCAAATCCAGATTTTCCTGACTGTTTTCTTTTCTTGTTTTTCTTTTTCTTGGATTTGGATGAATCTGGGATTTTTTTTATTTTTAAAAATATATTAAAATTTGCTAAAAATAATATTTTATAAGAACTTTAAGATCAAAGTGACAAACAGCTGTAATTATTTTCCTAAACCAAAGCAATTACAGAATTATATTTTAATTAAAATATTGTAATGCCAAGTTTACGACAAACACTGCCAAGTTTGCAACAAACCATTGCTCACATTGCTAAAATATTAACTTCATCGAGTTTAAAACTTTATTAAATACAAAACAATAAAAAGTACAGAACATTACTGACCTATATCTGAGTGGTCTGCGAATGCACTCAATGGCTTGGCTTTGAGAGATTTTTTAGCAGCTCTGATACTGAGTAACTGGGCTTTGGTGAGCTCAAAATTGACACGGTCTTCAGCCTACATAAGAAAACAATTAACTGTCTTATGAAGTCTTGGATGCTTAAGGTTTCCCAAAATACATCACAGGCAGAGGCACAAGACTCATAGTTGCCATATCCAGCCCTGGTACTTCACAGATCATTACACTGAGAACCAGCAATCTTATCTAATCACACAATCTTCTTAAGGAAGACAAGCCCTGCCCCTCCTCCCTTCATGGCTGACATCACCCCAAGGCTCTTTTGAGACTTGCAGTTAGCAAAGCTGCCTATAGCTCTCTCTTAAATGGCATAATATTAATAGTTTAATTCTTAAAAAAACTTAAGTAATCATAACTTTCCTAAACATTTTTTTTAAAAACAGAAAAATACCGTTAATTTTTTTCTCGTCTTCTTTTTATCTTCTTTCTGATCTCTGTCTGCCAACCTCAGTTTAGCTGAATAGGATACAATAACTTGATCAACATTACTTTAACTACTTAATCATAACAAAAAAATTAAAACAGTTTAATTCATTTCGAGTGTTATGCATTTAAATGAAGCTCTTTTCACACAATTCTTTTAATAATTCAAAGATAAGAAGCTAATGAGCTGAAAAGTTAATTCAATTTTATTAAAAATAAACAAAAATGATATTCAGATGTATCTAAAGTTCTGGAACCTGCCTTTCTCCACCTTCCTCTCCTTGAAGCTCTGGAACCAAGTTCTATGGGTTGTGTCTTCTTCCTTTGTTTCCAACATATTCTGAGCTTTTTGCATTTTGTTCTCTACGGAGCGCAAATGGCTTTCTTCTCTTTGTTGGGCTTGAATGGCTTTGATGTCATCCTCTAGGTCTGTAATCCTAGTCCGAAATTTGTTTATAACATCTGTTCAAATAAAAATAATTTGCTTTAATTGCCTGTGTGATAAATGAATAGAAAAGCTTTTTATTCTCATAAACGGGTTGTTCTACCTATGTCAGTGGTATATTTCAATGCAGTGTAATATGCGGAGGACTGCGTCCAGGTTGAAGCAATTTGAAATATTGTCATCTTTCAGGTTTTCCCCTACTTTGTGAGTTATATTTCATATATCATTGAAAGCACCAATACTTTTATAATAAGACATTCCAATGTTTTATAGATCAACAATAACTTATATATAGAGCAAAATTCACCTAGAGGAATGACCCTTGTTTTGAGAGGCGTTTTTGCTTCTTTGACTATTTCTTTTAGTACTTTTCTCTCCTTCTCTCCAACCAGAGTCACAGATCTATAAAAATTATTTTTAAAAACCATTAAAAGAGTTATTATATCTTTTATAAAACTGAATAATGACCATTAAAATTTTTTATCAGCACTCACTCTTTAAAAAAAAAAAGTAATAAATGTAGGACAAAAGTTGACTTGCACTCCGCGCAAATACAGATTTAAACATTTAATGATATTAATTTCTGGATTGATTATTTCATTAAAAATCAATCAAAACCGGTCGTTTGCATTTTATTACTTTAATTACATGAACACATACAAAATAATTTTGCGTAAAATAAAAATTAATCAGTGGGCGGCATATACCTGCCACTTTTACCAGCTCTTGCAGTTCTGCCTACACGATGAATGTAATGTTTAATAGTACTCGGCATTGTGAAATTGATAACCTGCAAATACAGAAAAAACAAACTGTGTGTCACCATTTACGTTTCTATAGAGAAAGTAGGGATCATATCTTTTATATTTTTTCCCTGCTCTTCTAGACTATCTTTTGTTACAAAACATTAGTTGCTAAGTTTGGGGTAACCACTAATTTTAAGACTTGGTGTACTGTTGTCCTATTGGCTTTAAATATATTTAAAAACTCAATTATTTCATGCCATATATCCATTTGAATGTGTACAGTTAGTTATATATATTTCATGTAAGATTTACACAGGATAGATATCAGTAGTTCAGAAACAATAATATTAAATAACTATTGATACATGATTGTTACAAGATGAAAGTTCAGTGTACTAGCTCAAGTGAAAGCTATCCGTCAAAATACTACACAAAATCATAATATTTCAATATAAGATTCTCTACAATGGACAAAAGATGACTAACTCATAATCCCTCTCAAACACCAGATAAAAACTGCATGAACACATCTAACGCATAGTAAATAACAAAGTGTGTTCAGTGATGCTTGACAGTTCTGCGTTACAGCAACAGGTAGAGTCTTTAAATTTAACCAATAATAACTGAAGTGATTATCATTCACTGAGATCAATAAAAATGAAAACTAGGCTTATGTGATAAATTACTCACAGTTTTGACACCTTCAATGTCCAATCCTCTGGAGGCTAAATCTGTGGCTAACATGACATCAATCAGTCCCTCTTTAAACCTTTTCAAAGTGTCTAAACGCTGTAAATTTTTCACAGGAATCAATGTTTAGTTATTAGAATATAAAAAAACAAAAAAACAACAGCTTGTAAAAATGTATGATGAAGTTGAAAAACATGTTAATGGCCGGTAGCATGAAAAATCTAAACAAATCAATCGCTGGATAATGCCTGCCATATCTTTACCAGCTCTTGCAGTGCTGCCAACCATAAAATTGGGATGTGCACAGAGTGCTTAAGAGAAATGTAACTGGCTAATGTACACATGAATGGGAACAGCAGATAATTTATTACCAACCTGAAGGAAATCTTTTCCTTAACAGTTACAGTCAACTGTGTTTGGAAAAGTTAATTTGTTCCAAGAAGAGCTACTACGGATTGGAAAATAATTTGCAGAAATTAGAACATTTGACACAGCTCAACTGTCCTTTTGGCTCTGCGGCTACAGTGAGATGAAATAACACCAACAAGAGCTGCAACAGGCTTGACATTTTTTTAAATGGGGTCTATTGGCCTCTTTTCTTTGCAATGAAAAGTTAAGGGGCAATGCAACAATTTGTTATGAATGCAAAACAGATAAACATTGTAATAAACTTTTTAAAAGATAAAATCAGTTCTGCCAGCTATCACCAAACTGTGTTGCTTTTCCTTTACCTTTTTGACACCACTTCCCGAATTTGAAAAAAAAATACATATTATTAGAAAATAAAACTTGCCTGGGCTTGAGACAGATTACCATGGAGCTCCCCAACATTGATCCCCAGTAGACCTAACAGAATATGCATTCGATGTGCCTGAACTTTTGTCTGGATGAACACGATACATCGATCACAAAAGTTACGAGATACTAGGGCTGAAATAATACAAAAATAAAATTTAATATGAATGTTCAAAAGTATAACGAGACTGAATAAACTAAATTCTTTCAACAACAGAATTGCCAAGTTATAAAAAAAATGTTTACCAGCTACAATAGCCTCTCTGTCACCCTCGCGGTTCGGGCGTATTCTGACAAATTCTTGTCGCAGGCCCAGGGCAACTTCTGTACTCTGGTTGACAAAAACTTTCACTGGATCTTTCAAAGAGACTGCAACAAGCTCTTGGACCTGATAAAATTTAAAAAATAAGTATCTATAATTCTGAGGCTTTCCATGGGAATCCTTTATAATCCCTCATAAGCCAATTGGTCATTAAATGAGTGAAGTTCCATGGTTGATTTTTGCACTTGAAAATAATCAATAAGCGGTCTTGTGTTGTTAAATTGTTCTAGTTTAAAAATGTTTGTCTTTGTAAGAATATTTATGCATGCATTGAAAATGAATATGAATATGTATACAAAATATTTCCATTTATTTGGATCAATAAAAAATTGTATCTTATTTATGGCACATTTCCATCCTCTATCACTGCATTTTAGAGAAAATATTGTAGGCCATAATTCCATTTAATAATACTATAAAATTTCATGCCAAAGGGCACATACTCAAATGGTCAGTGGATCTGAATGATGATGATACCATAAATAAAATAAAATCTTGTGTAGAAAAGTTTTAACACTGCAATGTGAGCCTGAGAAGTTAAAATTAAATAATTCTTATAAGCAAAATAGATATATAAATTAAACAAACTGTAAAAACAAAGTTTTTCGTATAAATTCTTTATAAAATTTAATACTTATTAAAGTGGGGCTGAAAATTTGACTGAAAATGCATACAAGTAACGCACTTTATAAGAATTCCAATTAGTGACACCCCCCACACCAGACTCGCAACAGCACATTTCTTTTTACGCCCCTGAACTATATTAATTTCTAATGACCCATCTGCTTTTACACCCCAGATTTATTTCACCAACTATTTCAGAAGAACAAAAGAAAATATTACGCACCAAACACACTGCAATATTTTTTTTAAAGAATCTCATTTAGTGCTGTTATCTGGAATTTTAGATCATGAAATCAGTATTTCCTTCATCTTCCCTTTGGAAAAACAGGACAAATTGAATTTTGGGGTCGTGGCTCAAAATTTGAGGGAATGTGTTGTCATCAGCAATGTGTCAAGTTTCAGCTTAATAGGTTGATGGGAAGTGGGTCAATTAGACGTATAAAGATTTTGCCAGCCACAAACAAAAGCGAAGTTTAATATAAAGAATTTTTTTTAAAAGTTAATTTTTGTTGTTGATGTTGATCGTTAGTAAAAAGTTCTATTGGAAACTATTGTTTGATTTCCTCCCCAGCTTTAAGAGCAATTAAAACTCAAAACAGAGTATCTTTAATGTAGATACCATTTGCGTGACTTACAGTCTCTGTCATTGTGGCTGAAAACAACATTGTCTGCCTCTGGCGAGCACACATACGGATAATCTCATTCATCTGTTCAGCAAAATATTCGTCAAGCATTCTGTTCAACAAGAAATAAATTTACATTTAATAGCTTAGAGCTAAAACATAACAGGGGTAAAATACTTTTGATAAGAGACAGTTGTTGCATTAGACTTACCTGTCTGCCTCATCCAAGACTAGGATCTCAATGTTGTTAAGGGTAAAGCTTACGCTGTTGTGAAGATGATCAATTAAACGACCAGGGGTAGCTATGACAATGTCTGGACCAAGACGCAGCATTGCCTCCTGCGACTTGATGTCCAAGCCACCTGTCAGATAATCATAAAATAACGACATGAACTCAATCTAGTCCTCTGCAGATATAACTCACTGCAGTTAGTTAAATATGATACAGAAGAATCGTGAGACAAAAAAATATGAATAAAAAAACAAAACAACAACTGACCAGCTGCCAAACAAATGTCAATGTTAGAATGCTGTGCCAGTTTCCTGGCAACAGTGTGGACCTGGACAGCCAACTCTCTCGTAGGTACTAAAATTAGAACTCGTGTTGATGCCGTGGCCCTCGGTCTGTACAGGAGACGCTCAAGGATTGGCAGCATGAATGCAACTGTTTTACCTGGTTACAGAAGAAAAGTTTAGGTGTGAATGCAGCAGCTTACATGTGACAAGCTGTTAAGTGAATCAGAGGAGAACTAAAAAAGTGCTTAAGCAACTTATAGTTAGCATTCAAGATTACTATATCTTAACAAACAATTTAAAACCATACCTGATCCTGTGACTGCACAAGCACAAATGTCTCTACCCATGAGAGCTATGGGTATACAGGCAGCTTGAATAGGAGTTGGTTTGACAAAATCCATTGAGGAGAGCCCCTGGACAAAAAAATCAAAGAGTACTATGTTACTTCAAAGTTAATATCCCCCATCAAATCAGCAGTTATTTAGGTAGAGTCTGGTCTTCCACACCAGCACCAAGAATAATCCCACCCATTCCAATAATGCATATTGTAAAGAATTGTTTACCTTGAGCAATGGTCGAGAAAGGTTCATGTCTTGGAAACCTATTTTATCATCATAAGTGTCAACACTCTCAGAAAAGTGGACTTTAGCAGCCTAAAGAGGTTTGACCAAAAAAAATGTAATTAAAATCCATTAATTATATAAGATTATTTTGATTATAAATTGCACCTATTATAATTAGATGACATTTATCAAAATAAAATAAATTAAAAATAGAGTAAAGAATTAAAACCTCTTCATCTTGATCATCTCCTCCTCCTTTCCTTTTCTTTCTTTTTTTATCTTTATTTCTAACTGTGTCTGAAAAACAATTACAGTCAGAAAGTTAATATTTGAAACATTAGCAACCACAAGCAATAACTAATTAGGTTTTATAATTTGATGAATTGTCATTAAAAAGAAAAAGTACATTGAATTTTTTTTAATTGTAAAAAGAAAAAAGTACAGTAGAAGTCCATTAGTCCGTCATCCAACAGTCCAGAATGCCCGATAATCTGGCATCGCTCCGGAAAATTATAAAAATTTTGGTTTTCTCCAAAAGTGCGTCTTTAAAGCAAATAAAAACGCTCGAGAGCTATTCGGAAGTTTTCGGGGTAGTTCGGGATCATCCGGAAGCGCTCAGTATTGTTCAGAAACAATTAGCGGCCGGCTAGTCTCAGCTGTCACAACAAATACAGCACAGTTAATCAATCATGAAGCGTCTTCGCCATTTTTTTTGTGCGTTGTTGTTTTGTGTCCTTTCACATCGCAGTAAACTGTGTCTCAGTACTCTCTACTGTAATACTGTACATCTGTAGTGACGTACGTAACTTTTGAAACTGTTTATAAACAAAGTGAGTTTCGTTCTAACTGTACAGTGACCATGTTTTCAAAACCTAAGCCTTCGAGTTCAAAAGGAGAGAAACGAAAACACGTAACACTGACTCTCAATCAGAAACTAGAAATCATCAAACGGCTAGAAAAAGGTGAGAATAGAAATGTTTTAATGAATAAGTTTAATATTGGCTCATCAACTATTTATGACATTAAAAAACAAAAAGATGAACTAATGAAGTTTTCTTCTCAATCGGTAACAACTGAAAAATTGGCTTCAAGACAAACATTAAAAAAAACAAAACTGGAACAGCTAGATAGTGTATTGTTCAAATGGTTTAGTGCAGTACGTTCTGAAGGAAAGCCGGTAACAGGGCCAATGATTGTTGAAAAGGCAAAGAAATTCGGCCAAGATTTAGGAGATGCTGAAAGTGAATGTAATTATTCTGATTGGTTGGCTCAGAAGCTTGGCATGGAATTCGAAGACTTGATTAACTGGAGAAATACTTTCAGCAAACCAAAAAACTGCAGAAAAATACAAAGACGAGTTTGAGAAAATCGTGGCTGATAATGATTTAACACCTGAACAGATTTACAATGCTGATGAAACAGGGTTTAAAAAAAACAAAGACAGATTAACCGTTTTGCTATGTGCTAATGCGTCTGGAAACCACCGAGTGACCCTTTTTGTGATAGGCAGGGGTGCCACTCACCGTAAGCTATGAACCCTGAAATGCCTTTTTAAAAATTTCCTGAACCCTGAAACTTCATTTCCACATTTTTCAAACCCTGAATCTTAACGAAACATCATATACGCATATATGTATCCACATTAATTTTCCCAAACAATATATTTTACTGGCACTTATTACAAACGCATAAATAAAATCCTATCAAACTATTTAAGAAATGCAGTGTGGCATACAATATATATTTATCAGTGTTGACATAAGAAATAAATTCAAAATAGGCATCAATTTTTTACAACAAATATGTAACAAATAATATGTATAAGTGTGTAACAAATCAAATTATATAACATCAAAATAGGCATCAATTATTTACAACACATATGTAACGACTGATATGTAAAAGTGTGTAACAAATCAATTTATATAACATCAAAATAGGCATCAATTATTTACAACAAATATTTAACAAGTGATATGTAAAAGTGTGTAACAAATGAAGTTATATTTTTTTGAAGAACTTTGTAATGGCTGCAGTATTTGTGGTGTCTGTATGTTTCCTTTTTCTTGACAAATTTCTGTTACAATGTCTTGAGCAGCTGAAGAAAAGGCCGTCGATGGTAAGGATGTTGAAGCAGGTGACATAGTTGATACAGAAGAGGTACCTAATGATGGCACAGATGAAGCTGAGGATGGTAGTGTTGGTTGTATAACTTCAGTTGACGATGAAACTGACTTTGCCATAGTGTCTTTTGCAGGTAGCTCCATATACTCTTGATGGCGCTGCCTGGCAGAAAAAACATACTTTCTCATCGACTGAGATACAGTCATGGTGATGGCACTTTCTCCCCGGGCCTTGAGATGGCTTTTTACAATGGCCAAACTCTCATAGTTTTTGTGGGTCATCCGCGCCCGATCATCTTCGATGATATCGTCCATGATATTGAAGGTGTTTTCCACCAAAGGACCACTAAAAATTGAGAGTAGAGCTTTAACTAGTGAACCTAGTAATGGATACTTTGTTTCACCATTTAGCTTTAGAGCTATTAACTTGCTCCACCAGTCTTTGTCCAGGTTGAAATCGGGTGCAGTCTCATCCGCATGTAACTGTGACATTGACGCATCGACAGTATACATGCGGATTTCAGCATCCAGAATGCCACACTTGTCAGAACTGATGACATTTGGTAAGCTTTCACCTAATTTTCCCAAAGCACCAGCTGTTGTGGACGACTTTTGCAAACCAGGGTCCAGAGTCGATAGCTGTATTATAGTGCTATTTAAAAGTGGCAGTTTTTTCATCTTGTCACTTGCATTGACATAGCCTTTTCTGACAGCAACATAGAAGTCATTAATCCAGTGATTTTTATGTTTGTCCCTAAGGCATTCTCTAATAAGAGGAAGACAAAAATCACCCAAACCAAGTTGCCTGTCCCTAACTTGAATTGATCTGTCGTTTGTATTTATCTGGGAAAGGTGTTTCATACCTTTGTTAGGGTCAGCAATAATACTGGGTTCAATAAAGCCAGAATAAAAAGTTTTCAACTGCTCATACATGTCTGTATGCAGACGATGGCATTGTGGCTTTTCCGACTGGTAACACTTTACATACTTTGCAAAATCTTGCGTGATTCCTCTATACAATTGTAGTGTTACATGAGTCCTCTGTTTTTGATGGAAAAGGAGCAACAAAATACTTTCTTTTCGAACAGTCCCAGCTTTTGTTTTTGTTTGTTTTTTCATATTTGTTATGATGTTTTCAAGTTTGGCCTGCTGGTTGGTGTTTAATTTAAACTTTACATAGATTTCTTTAACATCCATTTTATGTTTGGATTGTTCAATATTTGACAGGAAGCCAAAGTAGAATATAAATAGAGCATCCCATAGCTGATGCAATCTGTCACAAACGTCTTTCATTTGCAAAAATCTATTTGCAATTGGCCTAAATATGGTCCACACCTTTGAATACAGTAATGTCTGTATTTCATGAAAAAAAGCTCTTGCCTTTGGAGAGTCCTCTATGTCATAAAAAATGTTGGAAGCAAATGTCTGAAAGTCTGAAAATTCCTCAATGGGCTCAAAAAATGCTTTAGCAGCATTGTTCATCATATGCACAGTGTCACCACTGACATTGAGGAGATTTGGATTGGCTCGTCGTATCAATGACTCAACTCCGTTCTTGACTCCACGCATCACATTACAATTGTCCATTAGACAGGAAATAACCTGACACCAGGAGAGACCTCTCTCAAAAAGAATACTCTCTATTGCATTGAAAATATTTTCGGAAGTTGAAAAATTAACTTCCCTCGAGCCAAGAAAGTCAACAACAACTTTTTCTTGAGTGTCACAAAAAAATTGAACAAGAACATTTAAAAACTTGTTCCCTGCATTGTTTGTTGCTTCATCGATGTTAAGCGAAAAAAATTTGAATCGCAGACTGTCACTCAGTTCTCTTTTCATTTCTTCAGCAATACCATGGGTAATTGTGTATGTTGCTGCTGTTCGTCCCATTGCTGTAGCATTTAGAGCCTCTGTGTCTTGGGCAAGTTTTTTACACAATTCAAGAATGTGTGGAGACATGCTATATGGTAAGCAGTGTTCCGCTAGGAAGGCACCAACAACAGTTTTGACATCTTGAACCCTATCAGTTAAACACTGCCTTCTGCTAGAAATGTCTGATGTAGTGCCAGGTAAAATGTAGCTCTTTTGAAGGCTGGCTAAAGCACTACAGTGTGCAGGATTGTTGGCATGGTCTGTCAAAGCTTTTTTCCCAGAAGATCCATAGACTAAAGTTTGATTGCATACTATGCAAAAACATGTACCTGTAAAGATTGAGGTTGACTTTAAATTACTTCTTTTATATTTTTTGGTAAATGGTGATTGTGGATGCCATAATTGGCCACCCACCATCTTGGTTGAGAAACCAGTTAATTCTGTGAAATTCTGTCACTAAATCTAAGTAAATGTATCCCTAAAACTAACCTGAACCCTAAAAAGATGTGGTGGCCTCCACAACTATCAATAACCTTTAGGTAATCTTTAATGGTAATGGTTATGTTAGTAAAAACAATGTTCATTGCAACGCAAATTCACAATCGCGCGTAAACAATATTTGTTAGTGTTAGGTACAAAAAAAAAAAAAGCAGATAAAGTAAATGAAATGAAAATCATAGAAGTTATGCAAATATGTACAATGATAGTAGTAATTATTAGTATTAAGTAGTAATAGTAGTAAGTAAATTACTTACCAGGGTGGTTGATTTTTTTACACCAAACTTTAAACGAAGCACCACTGTCATTTTCATTTTCCAACCATTGCCATCGCCACTTGTTTTTAACAGTTTTCTCCAATTCGGCAATATTTTCTTTCTCATCCAAGAAACGCATTTTAAGAAAGTAAAGTCTTTTTGTTTTCAATTATAAATATAACAGAAGCGTGGCAACTTCTAGCTGTCCGTAGTAATTTATATTAAAAGGCAATCAATGGAAATAGGATTGTCCGATAAGTGTAAGTAACTTGACTCAGCAAAAAGCGATGTGATTGCAAACTAACACGAGACGCTCGCAAACCAGAAAGTGAGAGGCGATATGTCGCGATACATGGTACCTGCTCTATTTATAGCGAAAAACCGACCAACCCGCTTCTCCCGCAATGGATGGACCTTCGCGCGCTTCTGCGTTGGCTTCGTCTTTAATTTTTAAATCCAGCGCCCGTGTTTGAAAAAATTGAACTTGCGAACCCGGAACGATAGCAAATAAAAAGTCGCGAATCCGGAAATGAAAAATATTTAGCCTCACGAATCCGGAATTCCGGGACAACCCGGAAAAGTGGCACCCCTGGTGATAGGTAAATCTAAAAAACCCAGGGCTATTAACAATGTTACACACTTGCCTGTCCAATACGATGCTCAATCAAATGCGTGGATGACTGCCGCCCTCTTTAAAGACTGGTTTTTTCACCACTTTGTGCCTCAGGTCAAGGAATCCTTCAAAAGCCTTGGTCTACCAGAAGATACTAAAGCCATCCTTCTTTTGGACAATTGCAAAGCCCACCCGCCAGTAGATTAGTTAGTTTCTGGAAATATTGTTGCTACTCTGCTCCCACCTAACGTAACATCTTTGATTCAACCCATGGACCAAGGGGTTATTCAAAATTTTAAATGCTTTTCTAGAAGGTCTTTTATTCAAGGCCTGTTAAATGCCGGCTGTGACGTGACTGATTTTCAAAAAAAGTTTACAGTAAAAGATGCCGTCTATGCTATTGCACTGTTTTGGAACCAGATAAAAAATACAACACTCCAAAAATGCTGGAGAAAACTTTGGCCAGCTGCAAACCCTGCATCTGACCTAGCTCTACAGACTGCTGAGGAAGAAAACCATCAAGACGCTCTGACCAAAGTTTTGGATGTCGTTAGAAGTGCTGACAACCCCTTGAAAAACCTGCCTGAAGATGAGGTAAAGAAGTGGCTTCTAATCGACAAGAATGAGCCTGTTGAACAAAAACTAACCGATGAGGACATTATCAAAAGTGTAGTAAACCCTCAGCCTAGTCAAAATCTTGAAGAAAGTGACTCAGATGCCGAAATGGAAGAACAGGACAAAATCAGCTGGGCAGAAGCTGCAGAATCACTAAATAAGTTTATCTCTTTTGCTGAGGCTAGTACTAGCTACAGTGCTTCAGAAATTATTGATTTCCATATCATTACAAATAAATTTTATAGTAAACGCCAAAAGTCAAGAAAACAAAAAGACATTCGTGACTTTTTTAAATCTAAGTGAAATATGTTTTACAGTAATTTTACATTTCATATAATGTATGTGCACGTACTGTAAAACATATTTTTAATAATTAAACTACAAATACAGTATGCAAATACAACAAATTTTATTTTACATTTCATATAATGTATGTACACGAAAATTTGTTGTATTTGCATACTGTATTTGTAGTTTAATTATTAACCCAATTGTTCTTATAATTACGATTTATGTGTGTATGTAGTTAAAAAACAAAGTACATTTGTTTTACGGCAAAGCCTACACTAAAAAGAAGGGGCACCGCCCGATAGACCGGAATTTTCGGTAGTCCGGCAACTAGCCGATCCCGAACGTGCCGGATTATCGGACCTCTACTGTACTAAAAAAATTTCAGTTCATAGTTATCTTTCCAAAATCACTTTGGAATTGTTATTTTTTTTTAAAATTACCCATTTTCATGTCTTCTTCATCTGATGTCTCATCCTCTTCCAAACTCATGTCTTCCTCATCCTCTACCTTGCCACTGCCCTTTTTCTAGTTTAATAGATGACAAGGAAATCAGTAAACAGTTTGAAATGCTGAACTCATCTCACACAAATATATTTCAAAAATTGTATATGTGAACAATTGGTTCCAAATTTTTCTTTATACAAATTAAATTCTACCTGCATGCCAACACAGCAACCAAAGTGCTATTTATGGGAAATGACACAGAAAACTACGATAAAAATCAAAGATAATGGATATCAGCTACAGTGACTACATATGGAAAAAAAGGTCATATAAATTAAGGAGTAGATCATGGAGCCTGGAAACTATTAATGTCCCCAGAATGTGCTTCAAACTGTACATCTACACCATAGCAGCAGAGCACTAAAACATTGATGCACTAGAAGCTGCATAATGGAAGTGAAAGCCAAATAAAAAACATTTTAACAACTTTAAAAAAAAAAAGAATTTCTTCCAAAAACCAGTCTAAATGTACTAAAAAGTAGAAAATATTTTCCATAAAATACACTACGCAAAGAAAGTCTGTGCAGAAAGGATGGGTAGTAAGTTACTTTATGAGACCAAAGGATGCTAATGGAATTCAGAAGAAACTTTAATATATTTTATTTTTATTGCATTATTTCCAGTCTGACAATTCATACTCTTCATTTTCAAGTAATTTAAAATGGACTATTAATCAAATTAATAAAACAAAGCTATTTATACAAAGAAAGAAAATATTTGTCAAATTAAAATATGAAATCCATCTAGAATGATGCTTGGTTATCAGAACAATAGTGTGAGCCCAGCATATATTTGTGTGGCCCAAAGTTGCGATGTGGACTATTAACTTTGAACACAAGGGGTGTTATGGTCATGGCATCATAAGGACATGTTTTATTGTAGTGAGCTCTTTATATTGAGATGTTAAGGTATAAGAAACCTCAACATATTACAATCAGATGGATCTTTTGGCAGAGTCTGTTTGTCGGATCAGGCCTGTATTAAATATTTTCCAAAGAGTTGTTCAGAATTGTATACATATTGATAGGTCATATTGAACAGTGAACAATAAATCATTTTCTTTATATTTCAAATCAAGTGTGTTGCCTTGTACAACAGCATCTTGCTACATCCTCCCCAAATGATGTCTTACAACACAACATTTGCACATGTCACATTTCTAATAATTGACTTATAGCATATACATGACATAAAGTCAAAAGTGGCATGGGGGCCTCCAAAAGACACACGACAGCTCTATTGGTTATCAATCTAAACTCGGTTGGAGGGCACTAAACAAAAAAAAGCAATGATTATGAAAACAAATAAAGATTTTACCAGTCTCTCTTTTCTGACTTTAGATATTTTGTCATCCAATGAAGATATGTTTGACATTCCTTTAGGTTTCAAGTTCAGATAACTTGACTTTGGCAAGGGCAGCTAAAGAAAGAAAGAAAAAAAAATTGGTAAGTTTATTCACTTTAAAATTTTCTTAATTTCATAATTAATAATTCCAACTAGGATCTACAAAAAAAAAAAAAATGAATTCCGATAATTTAAGGTTTTGACTTAATTAGTATAAACATTGAATAATTAACTAAATAATATTTAAAAATTGTATAACCATCTATAGTCATAATATAGTCTCAATATTATAGCCATTGGCTAATCAATTTGAAAAGGAATTGTAATTCAGATACACACTTTAAATTATGAATATTAATGTCATAATATTGCAAAATGTTAATGCCATTTGATTCCACCAGAGACTTCATATTTAATCATTTGAAGAGAAAAATTAATTTTCCAGCTTTCTCATCATCAAATTGATTTCTAATTTCTAAAAATTAAAAACTGAAAATTTTTAATTGAATAAAAATGAAATTTAAAATTAAAAACATAAAATTGTGCAATCATAATAACATATTAAGAAATAATATATTATGTTGCTAACAATGCACAAAAACAAACAAAAGTTCTTTTTAGCAAGTGCCTTTAAGTTTAAGCATAAATAGATAAGATAAATCAAGCAATCAATAAAAAAAACCTCTCAACCCTCATTACAAATGATTAAAAATTATTTACTCACAGTATCTCCAGTGTCAAATTTAAATGAAGAGTTAAAAAGTCCAATTTTTCTCATCTCTTTTTTCTTCTTCTTGGAAACCTTTAGAATATGTCAAAAATACATTTAAATGTTACTGAGAAAACTAACAATAAAATTATGTTTCACTAATTTGTCTAATTAAAAAGAAATTTTGTTTAAATTTATGATCAACTTAGACTTATATTTCAAATTATTTGTTTTAAAAAAGCACACATCACATGGGTTTTAATTTTTTTTCACTAAAGAAGTAATTTTAAATTTCTAATTTGTAGGTATTGTAAGTGACAGCAGTAATTAAAAATGAAAACAACAGAATAAATAAGGTCACAAAATAATGGAGGACAAACTCTTTTTGGCCTCATATTTTACTTTTTTGCATTCATAAATATGGATGGCCAATATAAATAATTCGATTAAAACCTTAATTTTTTTAACGAAGTGGATGCGTACACCGCGGCGGTGTACCTAGAGAAACCATCGACTCTGGCCTGCGTAAACCACGGTGGTATACCTAGCGAAATCATGGGTTTTGGCCTGGGTACACCACGGCAAAAATGTACCATTGGCCTTGTTTTAAGATATGCCTGTTAGAGAAGATCTTTTGTGGTCAAGTGGTAGAGTGGACACTTGGCGATATTATATTTTTAGATCAATTCTCAGTAGGGGATCGAGTTTTTTTTTTCTTCCCATTTTAATTAAAAATATTTTATATATAAATTATCATGTTCTTTTGCAAAAGTAGTTTCATGAGAAGTTTTTAAATATTTTGTAGCAATTTAAACAATTTAAATATATGTTATATTCAGATTATTAAGTGTTTCAACAAGTTGTGCTGGCCATTAACTTTGAAAATACCCGTAATATTAGTAATAAGACATTAGAAAACAAACTGAAAGTTTCTGAAAGCGCATGTATAGTGTATGTAACATGTATAAGAGAAACATTTTGAATACGGTAGTAAGTGATATTTTATTGCATTTCAAAATTCTTCGTGTAGTTGAATATTTTCATTTTACGAACACCCAAAGAAAATACCAGTATATCAATAATATCAAATGAATATTAATGTGCATGGTAGTTTTTCAACGATCTTGCTTTCACTATGCATTGGCAAAATGTACACACGATATCAACGGTTCATTCACAACCCTCAGTCTCACAGCAAATCTTTTGAAAACACCACGATTTTAGAAACTTACGGCGCGGTAGCAAACTGTATAGCAAAGCCATAAGTCTGCGTTTAGCCTGTTCCTGATGGAATTTGTTTCCAGAATGGCAAGGCATGTGCCATTCTCAGGGTAAAACACAACATTTTCCAACAGAAACCATGCGCTTGGGACAGGATTTGCGCTATTTCAAAGTTTTTTTATTTGTTGTTTTTTGTTAAGAAATCGATCCTTGCCGGGGGGTGGAGGTGACTTATGCGCAGAGGCTTAACCAAAAAGAGGGCCTACACAAATCAAGGCTCTGGACAGGGGTTGTCCACAAAAGACGTCCACACAACAAACTTACCTTTTGCATCTCCCCCCCCCCCAACCCGGAGAGAGGGGGGTGCTGAAGCCCGCCAGCATTTTTTTTACTAATGTGTAATGCCAATGTAAAACTAATTCAATGATATTTAATTATTGTTAAAAGACTTTTAAAAATTACTGCAGTGTTTTGTATTTATCATCATACTATTGTTTTGTGTTGACACATGCTTGGTATCACAAAGACAATGCCTCGGACAACTTTAACTTCACGACTTCATGATCAATGTATGAGTATGTGATTCTCTTCCCGTGATGTATTTGTGGTGTAATTATATCTTGGTGCTAACAAAATAGATATGCTGGCTTCCCTTTCATTTTTACACCACGCCCCTAAGATCACATACAATGTTATAATAATAATGCCCCCCCCCCAAAAAAAAAAAAACTTGGAGAGAATAATTTCAAATTAGCTAACCCTTTTTATGCCTATTAGGATTCACAATCAAAGGATAATTCTCTTCCCGTGATGTATTTGTGGTGTAATTATATCTTGGTGCTAACAAAATAGATATGCTGGCTTCCCTTTCATTTTTACACCACGCCCCTAAGATCACATACAATTTTATAATAATAATGCCCCCCCCCCAAAAAAAAAAAAACTTGGAGAGAATAATTTCAAATTAGCTAACCCTTTTTATGCCTATTAGGATTCACAATCAAAGGATAAAACTTGCAACAATTAATAAATATATTTGTATTTCAAAATATGGGGGGAAATAAAGTGGTTAACTAAAAATAAATCATGGTTTAACATTACACCCCCAGCCCCCTCCCTTCCAATAAATAATAAGTAGGTACTTTGACACAAAATTTAAATATTTTCCGATTGCCATGAATGATACATCATTTTAAAGGGCTAGCTATACGCTTTACAACAACACCAATTTCATCTTTCTATCTTTTATAGAAGTGGAGTTATGATTTTTTGGGTGATTTTTTAAAACCCTCTTCTTTATCTTAGTATTTAACTGAAAAAACATGTGACCCACTTTACAAATTTCTGCCTTATTTTGCCCAAAACTTTTGGATTTTAAAAGATAATGCTACCAAATTGTCAGGAGACATTCTCAATGCAATAAATATACAACAAAACTTTTATGTAACAAAGATTTTTATTTTTTTATATATATATTTGTGGGCATGTTCAGAAAAAAGTGAACAGAAAAATTGGGAAATTGTTTATTGAATTTTAACTCATATTATTATGCTTTTGTTAAATTTTAAATCAATTATTATATTTCTATAAAGGTAAGTAGTCTTTTTTTATATATAAAATTGAACGCATGTTATTATAAATAAAAATGACTCAAATAAAATCATCCATGATGATGAGACCAATTCATTAAAAAATGTTATTTGATATATTATATAATTGTCTATGTACTACTTTTCTATGTCCTAATAAATATATAATTACTACGATGATGTTGTTTGAGTCTTTTTTAAAAATTAATTTGATGTATTTTAATAAAACTGTTATATATAGGCTTAACAAAAAAAATATTATCTAGAGTAGACTGTCAATTCAATAAACTTACAATTATCTGATTCTAATAATATATTATAGCCTATAAAGACACACAGTAAGAAGGCTAAGTATTAGAATGTTACATTAACTTTAAAATTTTTTAAAATGTACACTTTATAGTACATTAAATTAAAAAAAAAAACACACTAACTTTAATTAGGCATGTAAGTGTGGTGGTAGTCGTAGTAATAGAATTTGATGAAGAAAAATTAAGCTTAGCTTAAGCCTAAATAATAAATAGACTATTAATAAATAGACAGTTGTTTATGATTATAATTGATATTGATATGTAGGCCTAATTTTAGTAATATTCTCTGAAATAATTAATTAGAGAAAACGATTATTATTATTATTGATATGATATTACTATTGTAAAACTTTTAAATTAGATAATGATTCAATAATGAAGAACGTAACTGTATACCGGTAACGTACACAATTTTTAACGTAATAATTAAAAATTAAAACCAACCCTTGGTTACTACATAAACTTTTCAAGTTTGGTTATAATCTTTTCTTAAAATTATTCATTTTAAATGTCTTATAATTATTTAGATGTTTAATGATTTAACATTAACGAATCACAGTGATAGCAGCTATTTCCGGCTTCTCGATGAAAATAAAAAAATAATGACAATTTTATACCCCCCACTTCTTTGTGGGAAACATAACTTTTTATAGACAGCTCAACGATAATAACTCAAAAATGAAAAAACTCATACAATGAATGTAGATTGGGTAGCAATAAACCTTATTTTGGTTGCTTTACTAGTAAAAAAGTATTTATGTGATTTATATGCTAACCGAGTCATTATAATATAAATAATACTGTCCGTGATGCACAAAAAATCTAGTAGCATTAATCAATATATGACCAGAACATAAAAAACTGATACGTCACTGATGAGGAAAGCAATTATTTAATAAACAAAGGTGACGTAGTATGCAATTTTCCAAAGATACCGTGTAGTCATACGCCATATTGTAGAACACGTTTTTTTTACATTTTAGGACATGCGCAGAACGGTGCGTGGACGAGTATTGTTATCCCTAAGAAATGCTCTACAAGTATTTTGCCACATAACTTATAAATGTGGAACTTAGTCAATATCTTCCTCCCAAGGTACTGAACGATTTTTAAATAAATAGTTTTCAGTTTTAACAAGAGGATAGCATTAAATCTACAAGTACCGGTTAGGCCAAAAAGTTAAAGACTCGCAAAGACCATGGTTTTGCTACTTTAAATCGCTGCGGTGATGCGGTGTACGCAGGCCAAAGTCAATAGTTTCGCAGGCCTTTTTTTAAATAATGTGCAATTGGCATTGTAAATCATTGATTTACATTTTTTGATAACTATACACTCCCCCCCCACCATCTCTGGGACATCATTTAAGGATGACCCCTAAGACTAAGGCTACATTTATCGGTATACCCATTTATCCTGAATTAGGCTCTGGGCATTTGGTTAGTCCTATCATACTATGTATAGGCACTTTGATTAAAATTTCAAAACATTTTTAAAAATATAAAAACACTACAGCTGTATAGAGCCTGGAGAATAGATTACAAAAACACCAAGATCAACTTTCTAGCTCAAGTGGTTCAAAAGTTATGAATTTTTTAGTAGGGACCTCAAAGGCACTTTTTTACTATGGGATTTTCCTCCACATTTCGTGACCCTCATTTTGATTTTTTTTTTAAGGCCTATAACTTTATTATAAAATGACACAAAAATATAATATTTACAGGGAACATATTTTAATTAGAGTACTTCTAAATAAAACCACAAAATATAAGTTAGTTTTTGTTAATATTCCGCAAAAATTATTTTAAAAATCTTTATTATTTTCCTATTAAAAATATATAAAATATGCTGACTCGTCACTTATTCGTAATTAATTAATTAATTATGTATAAATATTTTTTTTCAATTTCCCAAAATTCATAATAATAATAAAATATTCTTAAGATATTAATTTCAAATTTTCTGTGGAATTGTTTAAAATTTATAAGTATATACTAATAATAAAGGGATTATTTGTTTCAATAAGTTAAAATTGACAATTAAACTTTTTATTTTACCATTTTCTATATAATGTATTTTAGTCCCATACCATATGAATGTGTGAATATGACAAAAAATAGTATGTCATTTATTTTAAGTTAGTACAGTTGTTTCACAGATCAACATTTATTATTAGAATCAACTTTAGCTGTTGATAGAATTTTAAATAAGTTCTAGTTATTTGCTTGAGGTAATTACAATGTTTTATTATTAAATTTTAGTAATATCTCATGTAATTCTTGGATTTTTGTGGTAGAAAGTGTGTTTTTTTCTTTGAGAATACTGAGGATTATATGATAATTCTCTTTTGGAATAGTGTGATATGTGATTAAATATAATATAGGATATTTCAATACCAAAGGTAAGTGAATATTTTTTGTACACTTTTACTTAATTTATGCCTTAAGAATCACCATATATATCATTACATATGAATAATGGGTCCTACAAATAACTATTTGATGGGGGGTGGTGGATAGGCCTACACTTATAATAGTAATACTATTCTAGGCCTCTATATATACATACACACATATATATATAATTATATATTATATATATTATATGTATATATATAGTTAATAGTATACATATAACAACAGTATATAAAACTAATAGTTAACTATTAATTGTAATTAATTAGGCTTTTTTAACCTAATATCCCTCAATAAAAGCATCAAATCATATTAAAAATATGTGTTTGTTTTATTAATTATTTTATTTTTATTTCTAAATTAATAAGTTATTCGAAGTGTCTACACGTCCGGCGCGCCGGACCTGTAGTGCGCAAGATATACGTCCGGCTGCTTGTCACGTGACCGCCGGACATGGCCGGACGACTAGTAGTTTTTATAATTCCAAACGAAGTACGGTTTAGTACATCTTGTGTGGTCTTGTGGTAGAGAGGTTGCTTGACGATAGGAAGGTTTGAGGATCTATACCGGGGATAGGGTCGTTTATTATCTTCCCATTTTAATTAAAAATATATTGTACATATTTATATTAACATATTCCTCAGCAACAGTGGTTTCTTGAGAAGTTTGCACAAATTTTGTAGCAATTGAAATAATTTAATATCAAATCTTTTACTTTAACTTTTATTGGTTGCCTACGCCTACTCCACACTGGCCCCTAATTTATTTTATGGATTACTGGCACACAAACTCAAATAACAAACTAAACAAAAATGTTTACAAGCCACTTTCACTAAAGTTTTTTTTTTCTATTATTTGCATTCAAGATACTCAGTACATTACTTGGTAGAGAAATAGATTTTAAAATTAACAATAGTTTTGAACTATTCGCAGTCACGTGACAAGGCTGACCGACAAGATATCTCTCGCCACTTTGTTACGGCGGTCATGTGACTTGGTCGCCGGACACATAGTGCGGGAGATAGACGTCCGGCGCGCCGGACGTGTAGACACTGCCTAAGTTATTAGGGGGTAATAGTCTGGATTTCCAGAGTAAATCAGGTTATTTACCATAGCAACGAATATTAACGATAATAGGTAATTTTGGGACACACGTGACTAAAATTTCCCATGAAATTTCTGACCAAACTGATGGTCCTAAATTAACAGGTCTTGGATATGTTGTAGTTAATGCCATTATTTATAAAGTCCTTGAAATTCTATGAAAGGTTCTTTTCCACACAAAAAATATGAATGAGTAAAAATTGCGTTATTTTACCTTCAATTTTCAAAGTGAAGCCCCAAAATTTTTTGGGGGACTCAAGTGTCTAATCATAACACAACATGTCTACTATAAGTTGTGGGCGGAAATAGAATTAACATGCTGGGCTATATATTAGTTAAAAAGTTGTAAACAACGTGACTCTCGGTAAATTAAAAAGTGGAAGTCGCCATTTTGACAACGAAATCAGGATACCCGGTTTTCGGCACTTCCCGGATCTTACCGAAATACCTACTATGTAACTATGTGAATGTGAGAAAGGAAGTACTGCGATCTAATACTTTAATGGAGAAGTCTACGCTCTAATTCATTGGCCTTGGAGGTTCTCACCCTACCCAACACTGGCCACATACAAAAATTACAGTTCAGTAAATTCAGACAATTTGGGGCAGATGTCATTTTACCTAAATGTGAAAAAGGTAAATTAAAATCATTAATTAAATGAATGAATGAATGTCACAAAGATACCCATCCACAATTAATTCGTTGAAATTTTCATTAGGCCTATCCTAGAATATATTGTATTGGTGATTAATTTACCATTTCATCAGTTGAATCTGAACTGTCTTCACTGAGCTGGACATTATCTGTTTCCTCAATTGTTTTTATTAAGCCAAAGTCTCCCAGCATGGGAGTGCTTAGCGTAATGGGAGCGGCCATTTTTGTTGTTGGTATCGTATTCCGTTTTGTAGACTTAAGTAATTTTTAACGATACTTGTCTTAGCTAAAAATGTTTGTTTAAATTAAACTATTGCCATTGACATTGCTTATTGCAATTTTTGTTCCAGATCCAATTTATATGTACCTATGACATAATGTGATAATCTATAATTTAAAAAAAATAATTTAAAAAGCTCTCAAAATCAATGTTTTATTCATTTTGTTACATTTGCTTATATTATATCCTAAATTATTGCCTGTCAAATAATTTCAAAATAAGATTAGTAGTAACGATTACGCCAGCAAATATTAGAATGTGTGTTATTTCCCTTTTCTAAAAGCAAAGCTGTGTGAATAATTTTCGAATAAATAAAACACTTAAATAATATTTTTTTAAAAAGACATTGCTTAACTTTTTATGCCAATTTTACATTTCAATAAATTTTTTAAAGTCAATATTTAAGTAAAACTCATAATTTTAAATAATACGCAAATGATATTAAGAGCTAAAAGTTGGCGCGTAAAGAGAGGGAGTGTGGTTTGTTTATTTATAAACTTACGAAGCTTGAACTGTTTCAAGTCGAAGACCTAGTGTAAAATTAAATTACGAAATGGGAATTACAGGCCTAACAAAATTATTGGGCGATCATGCGCCAGCTTCTATGAAAGAAAATGAGATAAAGAATTTTTTTGGTAGGCCTATTTATTAATTATTTAAATCAAAGCCTATTGTTTTGTACAGCTAAGTCAGTATTGAGTGTTGCTTGTTTACAAATTACTGTTTGAACTGTCACTGTTTACAGTTGTAGTAGTGTTTATTTTAAGAATGAGAATGTCTTTTTAGGTTAATTGAATTGTTTAACTGTTAATTCGGTAGCCGTTAATTCATTTCGTTTATATATATATATTATATATATAATATATATATATTAAAATTACTTCCGTTCTGGTAACTGGTAATGTTTTTTTGCTGCAAGTCAGTGCATCCAAATCCATGTACTTGTACTTGTACTGGCATCTTTGCAACAGTTGTTGATATGATGTTGCTATTCTAACAGCTCCTAGCTGAAGCAAGGGCAGCCTTGAAACTTTCAACAGATGTGGAGTTCACAGTGGCATCGTTCAGGTGGTTCCATGCTATTATTGTGCGTGGGAAGAAAGATTGTTGATACTGCACTGTGTTGCACTGAGGCACTTTGAAGCATTTGCTAATGTTTCTGGTGTAATTGTTTATGGGAATGTCAGTGGTGAAGTCAGTGTTCAGTGAGCGTTTTGCTCTGATCAGTCTACCTGGCTTCTGTGGGATGAGGTACGTGCCTGCTGGGATGGCTGGCACTAGTTCCATGATCACTTTATATAAGAATATCAGGCGGAGTCCCTCTCATCTGTTTTTAAGGGGGATGGGGGGATCTCAAATCTTTTTAAGAGGCCAGTGATGAAGCCAGGAGTGGTGGATTTGTAGTCTCGAGCGATAAAACGCACCACATTACGTTGAATTCGCTCCATCGTGTCCATGTCTTGTTTAAGGTGTGGGTCCCATATGATCGCACCATATTCCAGTACTGGGTGGACGAGTGCGAGATAGGCATTTTGTATGCAGGAAGTTGGGCAGTGGCGCAGATTTCTTCAGATGAAACCTAGGGTGGAGTTGGCTTTTTTTTTAAATTTTGTTTATATGGGGTGACCATTTTAGGTTATTTAAGAAGAGAATTCCAAGGTATGGATTATTGGATACTTGTTGGAGGATTGTCTTGTTTAGTGAGTAAATATGAGTTGATGTTTTTTTTCTTTAGATTGTCATAGTGTGTAGCATTTGGTTTCATTAAATTTCATGCCCCTTTTGTCCGCCCAATTCATAAGGCACTTCAAATCTGTTTGGAGGTGGTGGTGGTCATTGTTGCTGTTTATCTCTCTGTAGATAAGTCTGTCGTCAGCAAACAGCCGCACTTGAGAATTTACTGTATCGGGTAGGTCGTTTACGTGACAGAGAAAGAGAAGGGGGCCCAGCACTGTGCCTTGTGGAACTCCTGAGTCTACGGTGGCTTTCCCTGATTGGACGCCGTCCACCACTACATGGTACGTTGTGTTAGGAATGTTGAGAGTCCGGAGTGAAGATTGCCTGTAATGCCGTAGTGGTGGAGCTTATGTAGAAGAAGGCTGTGTGGAACAGTGTCCAAAGCCTTGGAGAAGTCGAGAATTGCCATGTCGACCTGGGTACCTTTGTCATAGGAGGCTAGGAGGTCATTGGTGGTTTTGATTAATTGGTTTACCGTTCCATTTTTTTTCTTAGGTTTTCCCTTACATTTTCACTTATTATTAATATTAATAAGGATTGTTTCCTTTGCCTTTTATATTAGTATTACTTTTACCATTATTAATTATTATTGATTGTGAGAGTGTGGGTTAATAGTCTTAGGAGGCTTCCAATACTTCCATTAATTATGTCAACAAAAGCGGGCTGGGGGGTTGGATATGTTTGACAGCTGTTGACAAGGGGGGAAAAAAGGGTGGGGGGTTATATTCAGATTAGATTAATGTGTGTCTGTCTGTGCACTACACGGACTAAAGATGGCTGGTCAGAATGTTAGCACACTTGGTGCAAGACAAGTCACAAGTTCTTCACCTGTAGATTCTTTGTCCCAAATGACTAGGTCGGTATCATGTATGTTTGCAAGAAGATAGAGAGAGATTGTCATGGCTTATGTCAATTATTGCTTCTATTTTAAGTGCTGAGTGGTTTGATGAGGATGATGTTGACTTGTCTGGTATTTCAGTTCAACAAGCTGAAAATGATAAATTAGCTGCTAAAGACTATTATGCCCATCAGGGGCGTCATTTCAGGTTTTTTTTAAGAGTGAGGGGCAAAACCAAAAATTTGTTGGCTTATTATGTTATAACTGGAGGCGCCACAGTACATTGCAATTTAAATGAAACCTTCAAGGGGGGGGGGGGGGGGATATATCAACACCTGGCTACTTCATGGGAAGATAATAGCAGCTAGAAACTATTCTATAATTGTCAACTATATTGACAATAATCATATGTCCACTTCCAGAAACAAGGAAAGGTAGTTTCAGACCTGTTAACTCTTACGATTTTGGCGTACAATGTATGATTTTTAGATGTTTTATACGATTGTACGCCAAGACCCACCAAAACTACAATTTTCAGAGTGTACGCACTGAGAGGGGAGGTGGGGGTTGTTGAAAAAGGAGAACGCTTGGGTAGGGGGATTTGTGGGAATGTCAAAGTCTATAAAAATAACAACGTATCTATTGAGCTAGCTGCCTCAACTGTAATATTTAGACTAGTCGCCCTAGCTGCAACATCACACACACCCCCCCCCCCTCATGTTCTTTGACTGCGACCAAGAATGTAAAGTAGTTGTTACATAATTATTTTGTTTGTCTGAACTGGAGGAGTGGTGAAAACCGTTGCCACTTTTTCTTTTCTGTAACTTCATAATATACAAATAGATTTTATTTTAATTTGGTGGGGGGGGGGTACCGAAAGCTCATTGTAACGTAATAGTTGGGAAAAGCCTTTGTTAAAAATATTTTTTTCCAAAAAAGTATGCTTGCAACAGTGGGGTGGGGGTTAGATAATTTGACTTTTATTCATACCGGTACACGCTATATAGATGCCACCCCCCCTCCCAATCGAGTTTATTTGCTTTGTATGACCTAATTTTATCACATACCGGTATCTATTCCTTGCAGCTGACCGCGGAGAGTACATATTTCATAGGATATGAGAGCAGGGTTTCTTTCAGCTATATCTCGGGGGGGGGTGGGGGAGAGGCAGCTCGCGGGCGGTATGTCTGCAGGCCTGGTATATAGTATAGAGTTATAGTGGGAACATCAGTGTTTCCCAAACTTTTAAGTTTGGCGGATTGGTGGACAAGTTTCAAAACTGCACCAATATATTTTTAACTCAACTTTTCTCTCTATCCATTTCTCCATCCTTTAGACCAGTGGTTCTCAATCTGTGGGTTGTGACCCCTTTGGGGGGTCGAACAACCCTTACACAGGGGTCCCCTAAGACCATTGGAAAACACATTTTTATGAAGCGGCAAAGAAAATAATTTTATGGTTAGGGGTCACTGCCAGATGAGGAACTGTATTAAATGGACACTGCATTAAGAAGGTTGAGAACCACTGCTCTAGACAGTAGAAATGTTTCCCAGCAGATAGTTAAACTTCTAGTTTTGACAGAGAAGCTGACCACTGATATTTATGTCCATTTCTTTTGAGTGTTACATACAGTTATAAGGTTTTAACAATCAAATATGTTTTACGGATTTGGCTAGTTAGAAGAACAATAAGTAACAGAGAACTGAAACCAATGTACTAAGAAAATGCTTCCAAAGCTAGTGAGCTCAAATTTATCGATACTAACAATTCTAATATCATATCTACAAAATCGAATAAATAGAAATGAGAAAAGGAGAAAAACAAAGCCAAATATTAAAACATATTAAATTTGTTAAACCTTATAATGGTAAGTAACAGACATGAACTTTCTTTAAGATTTAGACAACTGTCTGCCAGCAGGCCGCTCATTATCATACTCTAAATATATTTATATACAATGCATAATGTGACCCTTTTTTTTTTTTTTCAAATTTAAAATCTTTTTTCGTTCCATTGATTAATATATGTTCACACTGTGACTTACATAATCTTTAGTGCTATTCATTATCTGGCTATATTTATTTTATTTTCATCCGTGACTCCTAAAACATTTTCTAAAAAAGACTTTATCTTAATAAGTTACATTATTTTATTTTATTTAATTTCAATTTTAATGCTATTCAGGTAGAAAAGTTGCTATTGATGCATCTATGAGCATCTACCAGTTTTTGATAGCAGTCAGGCAAGATGGCTCACAGCTTACAAATGAAGAAGGAGAGACCACCAGGTCAACAATGTTTATTTTTTAATATTCGAGGTTATTGTTTTTCTCTCTCTCTCTCTCTGAATGCTGATATACATAATTTTGTACAAATTATTGTAGCACCTCATTATTGTCACCCATAGCTGGCATTAAGAATTTAGATATTGGATATTCCATGAATCAATTTCTTTGGACAAATGACAACATTATCAATATTATGTAACATTAAGAAAACTAAGTGGAGATGGATTTGAAAAAAAATATTCTAGCAGGAAAAAAGCACCTTCACAAAAATTTGTTGAAAATGTTTTGAAATTAATGAATATTCTGATTCTTATTTTTAACAGATGAAAAGACTAATATTAAAAATAATTTGGGGTACGAGCAAGCATGATTGTAAAATCAAATGAGCCAATGACTTTTAAGTCATATAAAATTGCAGATATTTAAGAGATTTCTTTAATTACATTTAAGTTAATTAGTGTTCAATTAAAAAATATAGAAATCCAGTTTGTTTCAATTTTAAAATGAGTTGGCACTTTATTAAGGGTGTGAAACTTATTCTTACTAAGAGGGGACGCGAGACTAAAAAAAAGTAGTATGGTTTATGTTGTTTAGAATAAGTGATCAAAAGTTTTCATAAAATATTTGTAAAATCTATACCATTAAAAAAACAATTGACCCTTTAAGGTAATTTCCTTTGCAGCCATCTTATGGGAATGTTTTATCGTACAATAAGAATGGTTGAAAGTGGTATCAAGCCAGTTTATGTATTTGATGGGAAACCTCCTGAAATGAAATCAGGCGAGGTAATATTCTTATTTTACCATTATTTCTTTTTCATCTTAACATTCTGGATAAGAACTTGAAAATTAACTTTACTTGAGAGGTTGTCAAATATATTGATTTTTTAAAACAATTTATGTTTATCTAGTGATGAGAAGGTTAATCTATACTTTTTTTTTTACTGTTTTTCCTATTCATAAATTTCCCACAGTTTATTGATTTGCAACTAAATATCACTTTAATTAATTAAAATTAAAGCATTAAAAAACTAAGGAATTCATTAATATATTTACAGCTTGCTAAAAGAAAAGAAAAGAGAGATGACGCACAAAAAGAACTAGAAAAGGCAGAGGAAGCAGGTAATTTTTTTAAAAAGCGTAGCTTATTCAAGGTATTTTGAGCATGCTATAACATTTTTAGTATTTGTATTATTATGGTTTATTTTCAGTTGGAATTTAGTACTGCTGTTTTCGACCAATATTAGAATTTTAATTTTAGTTAGTTTACTTTTTTTTTAAATATAAAAATCTTACAATTCTTGGATGGTAGTTTAAAATGACATTTAAAATATTTCTAGGTGATGAAGAGAATGTTGAAAAATTCAGTCGTCGCTTGGTTAAAGTTACAAAAGAACATAATGACGATTGTAAAAAGTTGCTGACACTCATGGGTATTCCTTATGTTGAGGTGATTGAATTTATTGTTGTTTTATTTTGAGTTGCTGTAATCTACTGGTTTGGCCATAAATCACAGGACTTTTTAACGACAGATCTGGTTTTATGTTTAAGCGAATGCTAACTAGATGTCAGATGTAAATTGTATGGTTCTGTGGTGAGATGTAATTTGTGACATAATAATTTTGTTTGGCTGAAACAAAGTTGTCAATTAATTAAGATACAATGTAGATATTTAGAAACTCACTGCTTCAAACAGCCAGCAGCAGTCATTAAAAAGGGAGTAAAACCCTGTATTTCATAATTGTCTATAAATAAATTGATTTCCTCATGTCCTTTTTCTCCTAATGTCAGATCATAATTTCTTAATGTCGAATCTGGACACACTAATGTAATTTTCACAATAAGGTTATAGGGGGTTGAGAAGCTGAATTGTACAAACTCATTTAGGAGAGGGTGCAAAAAATGTACAGGGGCTTGAGTAGTATGAAAATATGACTTTCTTAACCTAGCAATAAATGTTGTGTCTTTGTTTTAACATTTTCTTGTTTATAGGTCTCTTGCAAGTTAATGTCATGTGGTGCTGACTTTGCAAAATCTAAGTTTACATTATCTTTTCAAGATTGTTATGTATAACATTTTACACTATTTCCCCTAGCAGACGTTAGTGGTTGTTGTGGGTGTGGCCTATTCGTTTGATGTATCTTGTTTACTACCGCCTTTCCAATTAAACCTTGTAAGACTGCCTCCTAGTATTTTATAGAATGTTTGCGATTGTTCTAGAAATGTAAACAAATGCTGAGTACCTTCTGGAAGGCAGGGCTTACGCGTCGGTAGACCCACCTATATAAGGGACGGAGATTCAGATAGATATTATTAACTTTACGAGGCGTGTATTATTCTTTGTGTATTTGTGTGCTCATGTGTTATTTCTCATTTCACCATTATTCATTGGCACATTATACTAACTGTGTTAACTGTGTACCGGTACAAGATCTACCATATTGTAAGTTGAAGATTGTCATTATATTTTCTTTTCTTTTGTAATTACATTATTAATGATTAATACTTATTAAATCTTATTAATTGTAACTAGAAACTGTTTTGGGTGTCCTATCTTTAATATTGTTGACTCTATGATATCGTCCTTTGTTCGGCACTGTTTACAACGAGCCAATTAAAATAGGAGATTAATTTCTCAAATTAGAAGCCAATGCGTAACAAGATATATTTATTGATAAAAATGATGGTTGTCTTTAAAATGTTTTCTTGTTAAAATGGCAAAAATACTTTGACGTAGAGCTAAACTCTTCAAGAAGGAAGAGCATTTAAGTATAACAAGGTTAGGGAAGTTTCTATTCCTGCCTCAAATAAAATATGATTTTGTGTGTGAGAATATTTTTTTAATTTGTTATTTAAAGGCCCCTTGTGAGGCTGAAGCCCAATGCGCTGCCCTTGTCAAATCAGGAAAAGTCTTTGCCACTGGAACAGAAGACATGGATTCATTAACATTTGGCTCAAATGTTGTTCTTAGGCATCTAACATTCAGTGAGGCAAGGTAAGGATTAGTTTGATTCTGAATTGATCATTTTTTCTGACAAGGATTACAATATTCCCTGCATCACTATACATCAGTCTTCTGAGTGTCAGAATATGGTTATAGTATGCAATGCATGCCATGATCTAAGATTCTAATTCCAGATAAAATTGACAAAATCTCTGTCAGTAATGCTAATAATAAAAATTTTATGACCCATTCATTAGCTTGCAGGTGATGAGCAAAACTTAAATTTTACTTTAATTTTCACATTTTTAAGCAAGTTAACTTATAGAATTAAGAAAATGGTGACTAATGCTCTCTCTAAGCCTGTGGTCAGCAACTTTTTCTGAGTGAAATATGAACTCTTTCAATGCGGAACAACGCCAACTGCGTTCATCTGCCGTTCTCAAAAGCACGGACCAACACGCTGTGCGTTGTTTCAATATCATGTTTGTTTCTTTGCTATTTCTCGGTTAAACTTTTTAAGAGCTATTTTTAAATAGGACTTTTACATAGAGGAGTGGTACTTCATTGTTTATTGAGCGAAACCAAGGGTTATTTGTTGTCATTTTTAGCATTATTTTAATGATTTTCTTCGCTTTTTTTTTCTTCTGTTGCTATGGCTACTCTAGGCCCTAGTAGGTGAGTTCCCTAGACGATTAACAGCTCAAAAAGCTTTGGAATTTTTTAAAACTATTTCTTTTGATAGAGAAGATGATTTATATTTAGATCCATCAGATGATTCTGATGGTAGTAGTTGTAGAGGAATTGAGTTCTAGAAGTGAAGATGAGGTACACGTACATCATAGGGTTTGGTGAAAAAATGGTTTAGCAAAAGAAATTTTAACATTTTATGGTTCTTTGCTGTGACTTATTTAAACTGAAGAAATAAGTTTACAAACATATAGTCCTTTCAATTATCTTTCATTTGATACCAAGTTTAGTCTTAAACCAAAGAATAATATTTTAAATATTTTTTTAATAAACCCAACCTCTCACTCTTTTTTGCTCTCCGAAAAAAAAAGTAAATTTTTTCGATAAAAAAAATTCCGCAGCGAAAGAGTTGAGGGAACTGCATGCAGGGGCTGATTGTATAAATGGCTGCAAGTATTCATTCAGAGAGCAACATGCTGCTCTGGGACTAGAGGTTGCTAACAGCTCCTCTAGGCTGGGCACATGTGTCAAGACCAAAAAAAAAAGACCAGGGCACAACCATTAAGGACTTGTGCATTAAATGTTAAAATTTTGCAATGCCAAAAAGTGTAATATACAGTTTACTTGAATGCTAAGCAAGTCTAAAGACTGTACTTAATTTTGTTGATCCCTGCCTCATAAAATTTAATAAACCATCAATTGGCAGCTAATTTTAATTTTAAAAAAACTTTTGTTCACAGAAAATTACCAATCAAAGAATATCAACTAAGTAAAATTTTAGAAGATCTTGGTTTGACACAAGATGAGGTAAGGATAATTTGTAATAATTTTAATATGCTTTTACTTAGATTAAAACTATGAACACAAGTTAAAATTATTTCTCTTCTTTTTTCCTTGCTGCTGAAACACTTTGCACCTTACACTTACAGCCTTTACACACTTTTATACTGCCTTAACAAAAGTAATGTCCTTTCATTTGTTAATTGATATTACTGTAAGATATTTATTACTCCAGTTTATCGACTTGTGCATACTGTTGGGATGTGACTACTGTGACTCAATCCGGGGTATTGGACCTAAGCGAGCCATCGAGTTAATCAAACAGCACAGAAGTATTGAAGAAATTATCAAACATCTTGACAAAAAGGTAAGCTTTAATCATTGTTCCTCACGAGTTGTGTAGTGCATTGGCCAATGACTGATGACAATTTAATAAACAAATGTATTCAATTTTAAAAAAGTCTTTATCATCTAAATTATTTTAATTAAAATGAGGAACTAGTCCATTTAAAGTTACAGCACGTACGATTTTTAACTTTGTTAGATATTATTACATATGCCATATTTAGCCTTGCTATTAAAATTTTTTAAAAGTTAGAAATAATTAAAAATAAATATCATTCTCAAATTGATTTGAGCGATTGTTAATTTTAACAATTTTATTTTTTTCACCAGAAATACGTTATTCCGGAAGACTGGATGTACAAGGTAAAAAAAAAAATCAACTTTTGTTATGGCGTAGAGATAAAATGTAACTTTTAGTTTCAATGATTTAAAGGCCTATATAAAACAAAAAAAATTTGTAGCTTGCAAAGAAAAGTTTTTAGTTAATATTGGAACCAAAACAGAAAATATTTGTTTCAGGATGCATTACGGTTAGTGTACCTGTTTTATAAATTATGCTGTATATTTTTTTAAAAAAAATTTAAAAAGTCAGGATTTGTAAACAAATCTTTAGACATTATAATATAATTTCATTATTTTTGGTAATAAAAAAAAAAAAAACAGTTATCTTTTTCAAAATGCGATTAGAGTTGAGTTCAACATGCTTAGTATGGCTTATAATTCTTTTACAGGAAGCCAGAAAGTTGTTTCAAGAACCAGAAGTTCTGGATCCTGCAGAAATTGAGGTCAGTTGTGTTAATCCTTCATAAGGAATTTTTCCCCTCATGTTTCGGTGGAAGTAATTATATTGACTAGTTTCTGTCAGATGCTAAACTTAATAAATCCATGTTCCAAAAGTAATTCAGATTTTCAAATCAAGTATAATTTAATTAATCAGGTTCCCACATTAATAAAAAATGGATGGTCTTTGATAATTATAATACTAAAGGCGAAGAAATTCATATCAACACGAGATAGATTTGTGAATTGTGCTGTTATAGAGAAAAGATAAGAGAAAATAACTTTGTTTTCTTGAATAAAATCACACCTTTAAAGTAAAGCTAAAAGTCTGTAACACAGAAGCTGTGCGTTAGTAGTCTGGCAACATTTAATGTGTGGAAATGATTTCATTATCAATCAAGATTATCTTAAATGCATAATCAGGGGTCAAAAATCAAAATCTACATTCAGGGGGCATACTCAAGTGAATTTCAGATTAGACAAAGCCTAAGACAGGGAGGCTCACTGTCTTGTATGCTATTTTACCTAACATTAGAGAGAGCTATAAGAAACATGCATGTTGACACCTGAGGAACAATAGCAGGGTACTTTCTGAGGAAACCTAAGACCCACAACCAATAGGTACTCTCTACAATCAACCCCTTCAGTATCTTGTATATGCTGTTATGGAACAGTAGTAAAGACGTATCAAGAGCTTTTATTGAATAATAAGACATATCTCTATAAACGGGCTGGAGGTTAACAGCCATAAAACAAAAGACATGACTATGTTAAGAGAAGAACAGAGGGATGAAGCAATTAAAATTAGAAACCACACTTTTGGAAAAAGTAAATCAATTCAAATATCTAGGATCTTTATTAAATAAAAAAATGAATATGATAATAATTAGATCTTTGGATTTAAAAAATGGGTCTTTGAAGGTTTGGGAGAAGTTTGTGAATTCTGGACCTTGAAGTGGAACTGCCATCAGGTTAACTTGATTTTTTTTTTTATTAATGTCTTTTATATATTTCAGTTGAAATGGAATGATCCAGATGAGGAAGGCCTAGTGGAGTTTATGGTTAACCAGAAAAATTTTAAGTAAGCATTTCTAATTTTACTAATACAACTTTTTAATTAATTTCGAATTTTTTTTTTGTTTCTTGTTTTGTATCCTGAAGAAGGCATTCAGCCAAAATATCCTTTTGATTGTACTGTCTTTTCATTTCAAGCCTAAGCATATCTCGTTCAACCATTTGCTGTAGTTGTATTTTTGTTATTTACTTCTTTTTTATTTCACATCTCATATGATTAACATATTATTATATATTTAGTGAGGAGAGAATACGGAATGGTGCCAAAAAACTATTAAAGTCAAGACAAGGAACAACTCAGGGCAGAGTGGACTCTTTCTTCTCTGTAGTGTCAACATCTAAAACGTCTAAAAGAAAAGTAAGTTAAAAGGCATCAAAGTATATATTATTTATCCTGTAATAGGACCCCCCCCCCCCAACGGTTTTCTAATTAAATCATTAATCAAATTAAATGATTTTGCAAAAAAAAATTTTTAAATTTGAATATGCAACTAATGCAAGTTACATTGAAATAGCTCAGTCTATTTATATATACATTTTAAAAAAATAGTTCTCACTTATTCTGTTTTACAGGCAGAAGAGCCAAAAGGTCAACAAAAAAAGAAAGGCAAAGGAACTTTTAAAAAGGGAAAATGAGATGTTTCTTTTACATAATCCATAAAGTTCAAATGGCAGTGCTGCACAATTGTGTTTTTTTTTTAAAGTAGCAAGTAAAGATGGAGAATTTTGAACAAAGTCACTCTTTCCCTGTTTGTATAGTTTTTAAAAAGTATATCAAAATGCTTTTGTCAGCAACTGTGTCTGTACCTGTTGTAAATTATTTGAGAAATCATTTGAATGTTACTTTATTTGGAAAATATGTATAAAAGCCAACCATGGGGGAGTCAATATGTTAGCCAATGTAAATATTTGTATTGTAATTTATACAAGTTATATGTATATAAAAAAAACTCATGAACTGTACCACTGAAAATGGTTTTTAATATAAGGAAATACATTCCAACAACTCAGGCAGAAAATAAATTTGCATATTCACATATTCCTGGAAATGCAATAAAACATTTCATATACACTTAAAATTATGTGACTGGCATGTAAAACTTTAGGGAATTTGGATTCACATTCAGAAACAATTACTGTATATTGGAAATGTAACAAATATATAACATCAATAAAATGCGTAGGGTTACTGGATCTGCTGAGGGAGACTATTGGAATTTACCTAAAGTAGTAACTAAGAAAAACCATCCAAGTATGTTGTATTGGGGGGACTCTTAGACAAATGTAGAAAAAAATGGTTTTCAAACTTCCAGCACACTCACCCCATTAGTCATAAAACTTCAAATAAATGAGACAACAAATGGATGACCAAACTGGAAGAAATTAAGTCTAATAAAGTGAAGCATTTTATGTCTAGTATTAGTTAGAATATTATGTAAAAATGGTTCATGATGGCAGGTTTTGAAACCACTATAATAAAAAAACAAACAAATGTGATTAGTCCACATTCTAATTTACACTATGGCACCATTTTGTTTTCTCCACTTGTTTAACAAGTGTCATTAACAAACAAACTTACTATTGCTAATACATACATTCAGTTTAAAAAGAACACTCAACATTAGAAATAACAGAATAATATGTCAATTTTTAAAACAAAATAATTTTAAATGGCTATGTTTAGATTGAAAAACACTGCCATGTCATTCTTCAATTCATGTTAACTGTAATGGAATAAATTAGACTAGAGTTCATGCTGATTAAATTCCACAATTTTACCGTAAATTAAGACAACTGAGATAAATTCCTGAAACCACTTCATTTGCATTGCTTTAACTCCTTTATTTTGATGATGGCATTATTACTGATTTTTTAACAAATTTTTAACTTTCCCCTCCAGCTAAAGAAGCTTAATGAGCAAATAAAACAAAAACAAACTGTAAATATGGCTGTAGATGTACAATAATTCTTTCAAGGGTCACTTAGGCAATAACTATGTACACCAGCCTTCTCCCTACAACTTATTAACAAAGCCTTCCATACAACAATAATGGCCAGACATATTTCAACATTTTAAGCCTTCCATACTATAACTACCAGTCACAGAAATATAAAGCCCTCCATAAAATATTGACCAGACACATTTATTAAGCTACTCATACCATATTGACCCATCACAGACATAACTGGGACAACATTCACAACCCTCTCACAGTTCAGTAAAATCATTAGCCAGTTAACAAAAATCGAATGTCAATAACAATCACAGCAAAACACTAAAATTGGCGGTTTTAAAGAAAGAAAAAAAAACAAAAACTGACAGTATTGTGTGGGAGTCCAAAGAATCATTTTTATACAGCATACATTTATTGTTATTTCCAGAATAAAGGAAAATAAGATGAAGAGGTGGTAAGAGAAGATTTAAAACATGCTCAACATTATGCTGAGAAAGAGGTGGACACATTTTAGCTGATCACTGTAGCTATGCAAAAATAACATGCAGAATGCTTCAGAAAAATTCCACATTAAAAAAAAGGTTATCCTTTTCCACAGATATGGTAATACAGATGCTAAAAACTTATGATCAAAGCTTTAAAAAGTATTCTTTCTACTCATGTTAATACCAGCTTGTTATAAATTGTCACAGATGTACTTGAACAGCTTTTAGTTCTCAAGCCACATAATTTAATGGCACAATTATTTTTTCTAATGTCTTTCAGCATAAAATGTGCGTCTAAGAGCATAAATCTTGGCCGCAATTTTACATTGAATGAGCTTTATAAACTCGAAATGGATAATTTAGTGTTTTAAATATTATAATTGATGATATTGAGTCATTTTACATTTTCAGTAGTATAATGATATAGGCATGGGAACTTATTTCCTTTAAATACCTAATTTTAAATTAAAAATTAAAGTATAAATTAAAAAAAAAAAAATGTAAATTTTTAAAGCTAGAGACACCAATGTACATTTGGTTAACGGTGAGGCAAATAACACACAATTCATTTCATATATTTAAAAAAAAAATTAATGTATAAGTTTCCCATATTTTTTTAACTGAAATCTTAAATCAAGGTATGGATTTTGAGCAACTTTTTTTTATTTTTGAAATAAATTGAAAGCCAGCAAATAGTACTTTTGGCAAACAAACTTTTAAACAGTAAGCTTCTATATATATACCCAACAGCAAATTAAAAATAAAATTCAAGGAGGTGGATGTGTTTTGTCTTAATATCTAATCTAATCTAAAAGTAGTATATGCAACACATCTCACAGGGTCAGAAAATTACCATATAAATTTGTTACATGAAGTTCTCCCAATAATCATCCGATTATAATGTTTTTTTTAAAAATTACCCTTAAAATCACTTTTTGTAAATGAATCAAGTATTGTTTTGATCATTGAATTGATCATTAATGTTACATGGAATGTCCATTTAAAAACACTTAAAATGCTTACGATAGAAATTGTTGAAGTTTGTAGTGCCGTACCTTAGTAAAGAAAGTAGTGCTATGAGGATAACTCTGAAATAAATCTGTAGGAAGTACAGGTGGTGTGATATGCTGCAATTTGATTTAGTCTCAAAATATTGTTCCAAAATTGAGCTTTCCATGTTCTGCTGAATAGTACTAGTGCTCTGCAACAAGACAATTTTGATCAACATGTCGCTTGAGAAACCCAGAAATAGACAGACAAGCGATTTGTATGCGTAAAGGCTGGCAAGTGGCAAAAAAGGCAGCTGGCTAAAACTAGACATTTATTGGAAGCTTTACAATGCAGTGGTGACCTGCAAGTGTGACAGTTTAATTTATAAGAATAACATCATAATTACTGTTATTCTCACTTCATTGGTGTGGAAAGGAATAGGCGCATGGAAGCTATTCAGTCTGTGTGATCTCAATGAGAAATAGCAGCTAGAGTCCTAACTCTAATGTGTCAATGCAGCAATGTTTTCATAAACAAATTTAAAATCTGATGAGTAGTATTAAATATTTCGAGAGTGTACAGATTTTTGTTGGTTTGTTAAGCTGAAACACTTAAAAAAATATAATAATATCAATTTTTCCTTCCCTAATTTTAATCTGCTTCTACAATAATTTGACATGACATTACAAATATTGACTTCAGTATTCCTAGCAGTAAGAGCACAAGATCAAATCGGTGCCAGTAGCTGAAGTTATACATTCATATGAGTATTAATTATATGATTTTCTTAATCAGCTTTAATCTCTAAAATACATTCACTTACTGTACATTTTAAGTACAAAAATTATAGAGTTGGGAGCATATTTCTACATCCTACCTATACATATTAAACTGTATTAGGTAAATTCTAAAAAGATGACAAATTCTGGGTCTCTAAATTTAAGGGCCTTGCAATGGAACATTAATGTACAGTAACCACAGTAAAATATTTAACATTTTTTTTTTTTTTGCTGTTTGGGGCCATAGTATACTTATCATGTATTTCACTTACATGCCAGGTACTTGGTAATGTTAATGTTATTTTTCACACTTTCACTGACTTGACATCTTGTAATAAAAATTCATTCATTTTTATTAGTGCTAACATGCTTGAGAAGGGACAAGAACAGCCAAGTGCATTTGTGTCTAATACAGGTAACAGCAAACCTAGTCTATGTGCTACACTGAGACTAGAAAAGACTGAGTCCACATTGTGTTATCCATTCTAAAAATTGAACTTGTATCACATTCAGTCACATGAATTTGCAGCATGTTCAATGACAAGCAGATGAAATATTTTTTCTCAAGTCAATGCTGGGCCAACTGGAGACTTCTAAAAAAATTTCCATATCAGGACATGTTCAACTGACTTATAAAATATCAAGATATGTCCACTAGGGTAATAATACTAGGTGTCACATGCTTCTGTAAGATCATCTGTGTTTGGTCAGAGCTGAATGTGACAAATATTGAAAGGTTGTTCAAGTTGTAAGTCCCAGGTCGTGTCATGCCAGCTTTCAGGGCTAAATGTGAGCTCTGACCTTTGGCCAGGGTAAGAGTGGCCTGAGTGAGCCCCACCCACCTGACAGCTTGGGTTGGAAACGGGGGAGATGACAATCCATCCAAACTGCTGGAGCTTAAACTATCTGGTGTCTTGCTGGTATCAATCATAACACATACTTCCTTCTCAGTGTGATTCTGCACCGTGAGTCCAACAGGAACAACACAGATGCCTTTAGAAAATGGGTGATCCTTTTGGTGAGGGTGTGTGTAAGAGTAGGAGACCAGTTTTGTGGTCACCTCTGGGTTGGGAGGTGGTTTGTCTTCTTGCTCTGAATTCTGGATAAATTTGAGTGGTGGCTTTGTCGTAGGGACAAGAGGAATCGGGTAGGAGATGGAGACCGTGTTCAGCCTATCAACATGGACGTGATGTTGACCCACAACAATTTTCATTTGACCATTTTCCTGCACAACATAAGCTTTCCACAAGAATACCAAAGTTAATTTGACCAAAATAGCAGCATCTAGAAGTTCTGTAGATTCAATTTCTGAATTTTTTGACTTCAAATCATGGGGTGAGTTCTCTTTTCCGCCAGGTACTTTTCCAATCAATTTCTGATGGCGCAGCCAGCTGCGTACAAAGAAATCAGAACAAGGACTGCAAGCTGTGTTGACCTGGTCTCTATCAAAAGCCACCTCACTAAAGACCAGGGACCCTGGGGAAAAACATAAAACTATTTCCCTTAACAACAAGCACTTTCTTTAAAATGATAAAGAGTGTTGGACTGTGATAAAGCTTTCAAGTAGGTTAATTAGACACAAACAATTAGTGTAAATAAATAAAACTATAAGTTCAGCTTTAATAATGATCATACAAAATA